GACTGAAAGAAAAATGTGCCCCACTTTCAAGGCTGACTCCTGTACATAAGATTCTGTTACTGCTCAATTATTGTTCAAGCAGAATCACATTACTAGACATATTTTTTGGCAGAAATAAAATGTTCTAATGGTGAACTCTTCCATTACCTGGCTAGGATCCATAGAATTGTTTATGCGAGGCCCTTGCTTTTCTGTCCTAGGATAATTGCTGACTCCCCACCCCCTTTGAACCCATGATATAATCACCAACTAGTTCTGAACCTCCCATCAGTTTCAAAATCAGATTCCCATGCAGCTGGGGAGGGTGCTTTTGGACTTTACATCTAAGTACTATTGGGCTCAGGGAACTAGTTTGATCACAGTACTCTGGCTCCTAGCAGCAGAAGTTTTCTTTTTGGTTCTGCTTCTGCCCATTGATCCACAGAATTTGAACCATGGTGTGTATTATGACCCTGGTGCCTTTTCTGATAAGATACTTTTAAAACCAGTAACTTTCTGGCATTCTGTGCTAACATTTAAGTGTTTCTATTGTGTATATATATTATTTACTAGGAGAGCGGTCTCTTCATTTTAACTCTTGATTTTTTCCCCTTCCTCAGGCCAGTCAGGACTCATTTAGAATAGAATATGATACCTTTGGTGAACTCAAAGTTCCAAATGACAAGTATTACGGTGCACAGACTGTGAGATCCACAATGAATTTTAAGATTGGTGGAGCAACAGAACGGATGCCAGTGAGTAATTCAAAGTTGAATTTATTCTCTACAACAGGCATGGGAGAGTCTCTGGCATGGGTCCCAACTTGGCTGGTGAGGCCATTTCCCCCTAACAATTCTCTCCTGCCCCACACCTAACATTATATGTGACATCAGGAGTGGGGCAGATAGAAATGCCGCTGTCAAGGTAGAATTAGGTGCCTTAAAGTGCTTCCAATTGTTGCTTGGCAAAGGAGACTTGCTGTCAATGCTGACCAGCCGATTGGCCCTTTCAGGAAGCTGGTTGGTACTGGCTACACTATGAAGTTCACCATTGAGAACTTCATAGCATGCCTGATCGCTGTGGGCTTCCTGTAAGAAGAGAAGAAGATGAGTTTGGATTTGATGTCCCGCTTTATCACTACCCTAAGGAGTCTCAAAGCGGCTAACAATCCTTCCCTTCCTCCCCCACAACAAACACTCTGTGAGGTGAGGCTGAGAGACTTCAGAGAAGTGTGACTGGCCCAAGGTCATCCAGCAGCTGCATGTGGAGGAGCAGGGATGCGAACCTGGTTCACCAGATTACAAGTCTACCGCTCTTAACCACTGCACCACACTGGCTCTCCACACTGTAAGCACTCAACAGGTTATCAGTGTTCTCAGGAAGCTCACTGGGATCTGCACTTGCATCGCTACTGTAAGCACAAGGGGAAGCACCTGACATCATTATGATATCAGATGATTGGCAGGTGGTATACCCTGGCCAGCTGTCATAATCATCTGTGAGCTGTCAATCCTGTTTCTTGCCAGTGCTCTAAAAGCAAGGTTGCTGTCTCGTGCAGATATAATATCACTTAGAACTGAAAGAGGTTGATTTTTGACAAAAATCTACTATTTTGGAAGTTGAGACTGATAGGGGAATGTGTTGCCCTAGTATGTTTTCTTACTGGTTAATATTGTCTTTTTGATTTACATATAACTGCAACAATTTTTGGTCCTATCAATAGAGTACAATGTGGGAAATGATAAGAATGCCTGGCTGTATCAATTGGGCTTGTTTAGAAGGAAATAATGCAATTAAAATGGCTTCCTCTATTTTATGTGCATGTACAATATCACCATTCTTATTTTTTAAAATCTTAGGTCCAAGTAATAAGAGCTTTTGGTATCCTAAAGCGAGCAGCTGCTGAAGTAAATCAGGATTATGGCCTGGAGCCAAAGATTGCCAATGCCATTGTGAAGGCAGCAGATGAGGTAATATTTTAATATAAAAGCTCTGCATAATTGAACCAGGATGTACTGAATTCTTTGCAGATATTTTCTTGTCTTCTCAAAATGATAATGCCTTCATCAGCCTGAGATGCAAATAATGTTCCCATGGTCCTTTGCATTGGTCAGAATGTTTGGTGCTGCCCAATGTCAGTTGCATGATACTTGTCACAGACACTATGCAAAGTGGCAAAGAGTGAGGCAGGCTCTTTGAAACAGCTTCGTAACTAGTTAAAAAACTTGTCAGGCTTCTCCCAGTATCATTGTTTCGTGTAAACCTTCTTTGTGGTAGTGTTTAAATATTTTTTTGACTAGTACTTTGCTTATGCTAAAATTAGTCTGAATCAGATAACACAGCAGAAAAACCTATCTAGATTGGATCCTTCTTCTCATCCTGCTTTATTTAAGATATTTTGCAGAGGTATGTGATGATATAAGGTTTGCATGACTCCTTTGAGGAAGAAGCATGTAGTGTGGTGTAAACACACCTCATCACAGAAACTGAATGTTTTAAGTGTACAATATGGATTTTAAACCTAGAGCTTTAAAGGTTATTTAGTGTCTGTTCAATGTTATCTCATTTAGTAGTTCAGTAGTGTTTTATATAAATTGATGGCACTGTGAAACAATGTGTAACAATGATAAATGTGTTTTTGTAGGTATCTGAAGGTAAATTGAACGATCATTTCCCTCTAGTGGTGTGGCAAACTGGATCTGGAACACAGACGAACATGAATGTTAATGAAGTCATCAGTAATAGAGCCATTGAGATACTGGGAGGTAAACTGGGGAGCAAGGACCCAGTGCATCCGAACGACCATGTTAATAAAAGCCAGGTCACTATGTGCTCCTTCCAAATATTCTTGCTGTGTGTTTACATTACATATTATCTACTAAAAGGTCAAAATATTTATTTATCAAATGGGCTTTGTTTGCTTAGGTGCAAGGTGTTTCAAAGGGGGGAAATACCACTTCATTTGTTGGCATGCTGCCAACTACCAAAACATTCTTGAACAAAAATAAACTATGAAATGTGGCATCTGATCTTTAAAACTTATCAGATGATTATTTGCTTGGGATGCTGAATTGCTCTTTGTGTTGCTGCGTATAAACAGTGATAAGGGAATCACTAATTGATTGCTACATCCGAATGTCACATACCGTGTGTATATAAAATCATCCCCTTTTTACCTATATGGAATTTATTTCCATTAATTGACCTATACTGTGTCAAGCTTGGGACTCTTACGATTTGTGTTCCTGATTTTGGCATCATAAATAGGAGGAAGTGTCCTTTTTACATGCTTTCGAGTGTTTTCCTACATTGAGCAGTCTAGGAACAGATAAATAGTAAAAGAGATGTTCAGAAAACAAGCATCATGTGTTTGCATCTTCTCAGAGCTCAAATGACACGTTTCCAACAGCAATGCACATTGCTGCTGCACAAGAAGTTCATGAAGTGCTGTTGCCGGGGCTGCAGAAGCTTCAGGATGCCCTTGATGCCAAGTCAAAAGAATTTTCCAAAATTATTAAAATTGGGCGTACTCATACACAGGATGCAGTTCCCCTTACCCTTGGGCAGGTAAAAAAACATTTTGACAGTTTAATATTGTATGAAAGTTCTATTTTTCTCTTGGAAGGAGTGGGGGGACTCATTGCAAACATTAACTTTGTTTCCAGTCAAAAGGCATATCTTTGACTAGTGATAAGTGGCTCATTTATGTTAAATTCTCACATGGAATGAGAATAATCTGGACAATAATATGATCTTGTTTGGCTATCCCTCTTTTTTTTCTCCTTTGAAGGAATTCAGTGCTTACGTGCAACAAGTCAAATATGGAATCACTAGGATCAAATCAGCCATGCCAAGGGTCTATGAGCTGGCAGCTGGTGGCACTGCTGTTGGCACAGGACTGAATACAAGAATTGGTTTCGCTGAGAAGGTGGCTGCTAAGGTGGCTGCACTTACAAGTAAGGGAGGACATAAAGGAAACTTCTGATAGCCTCTTAGAGAATTGAAATATAATTGTCAGAGGAAACAACAAAGCAAAAGAAATGGGACAGTAATTGCCTTTTCTAGAAAGAAAATATCCTGCTATATTCTGTAGGCCCTTCTCTCCATGTTTCATCTACCTAAGCTTATTTGTACATTGGAGTTCTGCTGTACCAAAGGCAGCTGATGACTGGATTTATCAGCCTGCTATTTCCTGCATCAACAAGGTTATGAACAGATAAAGCTTGAACTATATTCTTCAAATCCAAAAGATTTTTAACTGCTGGGGAGGGCATAGGAGCATTGGGATCTTGAAGCACTGGAGGGTAATGGTCTAATTGTAGCAATACCTTCTTAACACCCCGGTTTCCAGCATTAGATTTAATCTAGGTAATTAGATATTTTGTATTTAATAAACTGTTTTCTTTTACCCATTAATTTTTAGCCTGGCAGCCCTTGCAGATAAGAGTACCTAACTTTGTTTATAGATATCTGCCCAGAGCTGATATTAATGTGAACGGTCGATATAAAACGTTTTTGTTTTTTAAGAGTACTTGAGCTATCAGTATGTGCATCAAATGCAAGTCGATGGATGGGATGCTCATGTATATATATATATATATATATCATTCTTTCATTAGACTTGCCCTTCATTACTGCTCCAAACAAATTTGAAGCCCTTGCTGCTCATGATGCCCTGGTTGAACTGAGTGGGGCAATGAATACCGTGGCTTGCAGCCTGATGAAGATAGCTAATGACATCCGTTTCCTGGGTTCTGGACCTCGATCTGGTTTGGGGGAGCTAATCTTGCCTGAAAATGAACCTGGAAGCAGTATTATGCCAGGTACAATGTGGTTTTTGTTAATTTTGTGTTAATAAGTAATGAGCTAGCATCTTTGACCATACATTTTAACGTACAACTTTACATATTTTTCAGTTTTTGCCTTCAAATATATATGTAAGCAGTACTGTTTTTTGCTGCCAATGTATGTGTCAGGGATGATATGTGGGTGGTAGCTGAGATAACAACCTGGGACTCCAGCCAGCTTTTACAAGATTTATTAAGTCCAAAAACTATGTACAGTCCAGAGCTCTTAAAAGCATGTCTTCCTCAGTCGCTATCAGATGCCGGAAGTGGCTCTTGTCTTTTCCGTTTCCGTTTCCGTTTCCACTTTTCCTCCTCTCCCTACATAAAAATCCAAGCTTTGGAGGCTGTTCCTTTCACTCTGTTTCCGTGTTTCCTGACAGCTCCTCCTCCTCTTCTCTCTCGGAGGAAGTGCAGCTGCTCATTAAAGGAGGCGGCTCCCTGTACATTCCAATCTCTTCCCCCTTCTCAGCCAACAGATCCCTGACAGTATGAAAACAGGGTGGCCGTCTGTACTGACACAAAAAATTATATAGAACTTTTGCTCTTGAATATCAAGATCATTTGGAAAAACTGTGGCAACAGATTATTCATGAGTAGTAGATGATATTATTGTGTCTTCAATAATTCTGGCAGATGTTCCAACATTTAGAACCATATCAGGTTTGTATTTTTGCACAATTTATTCTAGTTGCAGACTGCTAACATAACTTGCATGTTGCATAAATTGCTTGTATTTTTAGTGAATTCAAGTGAGGACTGATTTACATTTGGCAGACACACAGTATTTTATCTTACGGTAATTGTTTTTCTCAAATTATTGCTGTAATTAGATCTGCCTTTGAAACCATGCCATTTGGAGCTATTTGCTTTCAGTAGAATCTTCCATGTTCTATCATCTACATAAATGTGCCCTAGGTTCTGTATGATCACATCCAGGGTTGGGGTTTTTTTGGGTACTATTTCTTTTAAATAATACTTTAGTAGCTCATTTGTAAGAGTTCCCTTTAAGAGAAGAAATGAATGGTTTTTTAAAAGTTGGAGAGATACTAATTTGAGGTCTTTTTCTTCTCTTCTCTCCCCCCCTGCTTTTTACAGGAAAAGTGAATCCTACTCAGTGTGAGGCCATAACCATGGTGGCAGCTCAGGTGATGGGGAATCATGTTGCTGTTACAGTAGGAGGCAGCTGTGGCCACTTTGAGCTGAACGTCTTTAAACCCATGATTGTACGTTTGAAGTTCTAATTACATGATATTTTAGTGCATGGTTAGAGGGGCTTCGTAATTGTAATGAGTGGATAATTGAGTTTTGCTGGAGTCGCATCTTATGCACAAGCTCATTTTAATTTTGGGCCCGAGCATTGCATTACAGGAATGGCTAGCCTGAAAGCCTTATCTTACCATTTAAAAGAAATGTTTGGCTACTTCCATAGGATCCCCATGCCTGCATTGTTGACTTCCTCCCCTCCCAATCTTCCTTGGTTCTAATGTGTGGATGGGTGGAAATGACCGCAGGCTATATGGATGTGGAAAGGGGGTCTTTCTTGTTGAACAAGTCTTAGATCTAGTGAATTCAAGGCCTCCCCTGCCACATCCCCACAACTTCCCATGTTGGAACGTAATGCCAGCTACTGCCAGAGGAAAGCCCTATTGGCACATGCCCACTGAGCTTTCCACAGGCGGGGGGGGGGATTTCTGCAGTAATGGCTGTGCTATGGGAGGGACACTTCCATGCAATCCTAACCCCTTTCAACTCTGTGGATCTGGGAGCTAGGGTTGTTCCAAAAAACTTATGGACGTAAGAATTTTAAACTTGGTTATTATTTTGTCAAGCTGTAATTCTGGAGTCCTTGTCAAAAAAACCACAAACCAGTTGCTTTACTATAGGCTTCTTAAAATATCAGCTACTGAGATTCCATATCCAGTTGTGTTAAAAGGGTTAAATATTGCCATCTTGACTTTTATTGAACAGAAAGTGAAAATGTTGTATAGCAGCTAGTCTTCTAAATCAGTGATTTTTAATTGTATTTTAATATTTCATTTAGATTAAAAATGTGCTACACTCTGCACGGCTCTTAGGAGATGCCTCTGTTTCTTTCACTGACAACTGCGTAATTGGAATACAAGCCAACACAGAGAGGATCAACAAACTAATGAGTGAGTCGCTCATGCTGGTGACTGCCCTTAATCCCCACATAGGTAAGTGTCTAACACATGCCAGTCTTGACTCATCAGAAGTGCTTAAAATGAATCTAGTTACCTTCTTGAGCAGATTTCCAGAGACCTGGAATGCTGGCCTTGGTACGTCTGTAAGGGAAGGAGGGTAGGTTATGGTCCAGTGGGAAATGTAAAGACTACACATAGAAATGTCATAAAAGGGGGAAGAGCATTAATTGTGCCAAGCTTCCCAGAGCTTTAGTTAACACAACTGTTTCACTATTTGAATTCTAATCTAACACCCAGATACTGATTGCAAAAAAGGAGAGGAACATAACAGTGTGCTGGCCTGGAACATGAGAAGCTGCCATATAGCTAGTCAGACCTTCAGTCCATCTAGTTCAGTAATAGGCTACCCTGACTGGCAGTGGCTGACTGAACCTGCATGAAGCTGATGCTCCACTGCTGAGCTATGACAGCTATTCTTGCTTAGAAGTAGCTGCAACATTAATATACAGTACTTTGTAATTGGTGTGATGTTGACTGCTCAGAGACAATCTTTGGAGTTGAGGCCCAAATGAGTGTATTGATAGATAAAGGGCTGTCACTGAAATAGCAACGATGTCTCAGGCTCTCCTCTTCCACTAGGGATTCAGTGTGCAGTGTAGATGTCATTATGCTACAGGTTTCATTGTCTGCATTTTCATTAGCAGCATCTACATGCTCCCAAGGACACATAGTACAGCGGTACCTCTGGATACGAACGCTTCTGGTTGTGCACGCATCAGGTTATGAGCTGCACTAACCCGGAAGTAGTTGCTCCCAGATGCAAACTTTGCCCTGGGATGCAAGTGGAAATTGCATGCTGGAGGCGCACATGCAGCAGGAGGCACGCTTTCGCTAATGGCACCTCATGTTAAGAACAGTTTCAGGATAAGAACGGACCTCTGGAACAAATTAAGTTCGTAACCAGAGGTACCACTGTAGTAGCAGTTACTGTTAAGTTTAGAAAGCAGGTAACTTCATCGTTTGGTTTCTCATTGACCTAAAAATTATCTCATGACTTTTCCTTTTACATTATGTGTGTAAAGACTGTTCATTAAACATAATAAATGGAACTGACTGACTGACTTTTACATTAGGCTATGACAAGGCAGCAAAGATTGCCAAAACGGCACATAAAGAAGGGTCAACACTAAAAGAAACTGCTATCAAGCTCGGATTTCTAACATCAGAACAATTTGATCAGTGGGTAAAGCCAGAAGATATGTTGGGTCCTAAGTAACTGTGACAAATGTAGTAGAAACAGAAAATAAATAAATTGTATAAAGTAAACAATTTTATCATCTGTTTCTGTTATGAAACCAGTTGCATTTTGTCTCTGAAGTGGTAGGTATATAACTTTGTATGTACTTCAGATATCCTGGTGAAAATGCATCTTGTTTACAGACAGCAGTGTTTTTAAAACGGTCCCTCAAATTATTGCGAAGCTGAATTTATAGGGCTGTTTGTATTCATAAAATCAATAACATGTTAAAGTCAACATGTCTTTACTAAAAATATACACATTCATAAGCACCAGCACACAGCGGCAGTTAAGCACAGTGGAGGTTAAAACAGACACTCCTTAAAAAGCTGAATGATGTCCCTTACCCTTAGACACCAACACTGTATAGCTTTGCTTTATCCTGAAACAAGTGTTGGTGCCTGATGAACCCATAAAGAGAGGGCATTCCACAAATGGGGCACCACCACAGAGAAGGCTCTTATCCTGCATCATTGTTATAAATGAACTTCATCTGCATAGAACTCAGAAGAGCTGCCGCCTCCTTCTCCAGGTTTGTAGCTGAACTTCTACAATCAAGAGAGATAACAATGTAAAGATGCACTAGAAACCTGAATTGTATTTCATGTTTGCTGCAAGACAGTGATTAGCCAACCTGTGCTTTTGTCACTCATGTGCAGGACAATTACTCCATCACTGTGGGGGAGAAAGAGTGATCTCTTGGAAGACGGTGGTGGTGGTAGGGAATACAATATTGGGAGAAGAACAGCACAATACAAAGCAGGTGGCAAGGGCCGCTCTGAATATCTGCAAAGCTCCACTGCAGCATTGTGACAGCATACAAACTGCTTGCTTCTGCTCCACTCTCTGGCAGCCATTTTGTGACTGGCGCCCACAGCTTTTTCAAATCCTGTAACACACCCACTGTTGAAAAAGACTGGTTTACTCCCTGTGACAAAGAGGCATATTAAACATTATTTGTGGAGAGAGTGGTTAGGAAAAGCCTCAACATAATACTACAAGCAAAGCTCGTCCCAAGAGGCTGAGAGAGAGGATTCGGGACAGACACAAACTAGTCTGCTTGAGAGCCAGGGTGCCGCAATGCTTAAAAGTGTCCAGCTCTGGCCTAGGGGAGACCAGGTTTCGAATCCCCGCACACACTCGGCCATCGTTAAGTTCACTGGTTTTGCCCTTGGGCCACGGTCGCTTCCTTTTCTCAGCCTGACCTACCTCACAGGGTTGTCGTGGAGGATTAAATGAGAAGGAAGGAAGGGGGGCAGAGAGAACCTTGAGCTCCTTGAAGAAAAATAGGCGGGATATCTTAATGCAATAAATAATATTAACAACAACATTCCTCGATCATTGCCAAACAGTCTCTCCCCCTTCCTCAGGTCGGATTCCCATAACGGGACTTATTCGTGTCCCACCCATGGCATTTCAATAGGGCACAACCCCGTCATTCTAGGGCTGTACAAGCAAACGGCAACAATAAATAAACAGTAAATAAATAAGGGATATATAGTGAATAATGTAAACAGAGGACCCGCCCTCCGAGCCCCTTCCCCCGAGGGCAGGGCGGGCGCGTCGCTTCGCCTGCGCGAGGCTCCTTCCTTCCGCCTTTCCTTAAGGCGTCGCTTTCGATGACGTAAAGCATCACGTGGCATCCCTGTATGGCCCTCTTCCGCGCTTGTGATTGGCGGGCGCCGCCGGTTGCTTCCGGGTTCGGTGTTGCTTTCGGCGGCGTCGCTCTTCCCGGAGGGGCCCCCACTGCGATCTTGCTCGTCTCGCCAAGATGAACCGCTTCTTCGGAAAGTCGAAGCCCAAGGCGCCGCCTCCCAACCTGACGGACTGCATCGGCACGGTGGGCGCCCTTGCTTCGGGGGGCGGGGCGGGGCTCCGTCCCGTTGCTATAGAAACCCAGCCTACAGCCCCCCCCACCTCGGGGTCCCGCTTTGCCAGGCCTGACAATAGGGGGTAGAAAGTAGATCACGGCCCCTCATCGCCAGTGGATCACCTGATCCCGACTGCTCCAGGGTCTGAGCTTTCCAGAGGAATCGCAGAGCGCTGGAAGGGGTACCCAAAGGGAAGCCGCCCATTATTATTATTATTAATTATTATTATTATTATTACTACTACTACTAATACATCTCTGCTATGCCTTGTCCCCCTTACAACACAACTTATGGGTAAAAATAAGGACAACTAAAAACAGAAAGAGAGAGAGAAGCATTAAAAAGCATTTAAACACACATACCTTGGCAGATTAACAACTTATTCTACGAAAATTACAGAAGAAGAGAGGGGGTCAGACTGTGCCTTGGCCAAAAACTTGGCGGAACACCATCTTGCAGGCCCTGTGGAAAGATGTCAAATCCCGCAGGGCCTTAGTCTCAAGGGCAGCCCCACGTAGAGTGAGTTACAGTAATCAAGCCTGGAGGTGACCGTCGTGTGGATCACAGTGGCTAGGTCAGGGCAAGAGACGTAAGGAGCCAACTGCTTAGCTTGGTAGAGATGAAAAAATGCCACCTTTGTTATAGCTGCAGCCTGCGCCTCCATTGAAAGGAAGGTGTTGAAGATAATCAATATCTCACTGGGCGTTTTCCTCCCCTTGGATGTGCCTATGTAGCTCTTTGGATCCAAGCCAAGATCATGGCAAAGGAAGTTTGCTTGTTTACATATATAGCAACTAGATTTCTTTAAAGAGGTGAGTGAGCAGTGGTGGTCCCCGCTTACCTCTTGCCCCAAGTGGCATGTGTGGTAGGGGGATGCTTCCAAATGTTACTTGCCTGGCTAGAGAGAGTACTGATTGTTTTGTCATTCATAACTGAACTTTCCCCCCCCTCTTCCTCATCTTTCCTTTTGCTAAAGGTGGATAGCAGAGCAGAGTCCATTGACAAGAAAATTTCCAGGCTTGATGCAGAACTGGTGAAATACAAAGATCAAATGAAGAAAATGAGGGAGGGGCCTGCAAAGGTAAGATGTGAACAATTTAGGGTGAGGCCACTCAAGCCATGTGACATGAAAACTAGTTTTCCAGGTTTTTAAAAATGTTGGTGAGTGTCCACAATTGTTTTATCAGTGTCTGAGGCCTGTGCCGTGCAGGGCTTCAAGAAATACCTAATGTGTAGGACACACTGGGTGGCCATAGGCAAGTGGCATTCTCTCTGATTTACCTCACAAGGTGGTTTTCAGGATGAAAGGAAGTAGGTAGGGAAACATAGAGGAAGGGTGGGTTCAAAAATATATATAAGTAAGTAATACTAGGGAGTTATTAGTTATTTAGGCTTGCAGATTTTACTGGTTCATTGGACAGACTTCAGCATGAAGAACATTCTCATTTGTACTTGTAAACCTCCTTAGATGTTGGTGTGGAAAGATGGTATATAAATCTTAAAAGTTAGCAATCTTGACTTTTTAAATGTTGCACTCAGCAGTTAATCCTTGGCGTTGACATCTGATTGTTACCTTTTCTCTAGAACATGGTAAAGCAGAAAGCCCTGAGAGTGTTAAAACAGAAGCGAATGTAAGTTACATACTCTCTTCAACTTTATTTTTTGAAACGGAGTACTAATTTGAAAGGAGTGGAAACACATGCCCTTAACTTTTGGCTTCTCTTAGTTAACTAGACTATCATTGCCACTACTCAACTGTTCCTCAAGTTCTATGGCTCATGCAGAGAATGTGGCAATAAGGAAGAGCAATCCCGCCAGCCCTAAGTTGCTATAATGGGGTGTTTCTCACACTGTGATGTTTCCTGGCTATAGTCACAGCCACCTACTTCCACTTCTAGCAGAGGCTGTGGCCTCAGTCCCAGCCAGCTGCACCATTGCCTGTTGGCAGAAAGAGAGAGAGAGAGATGTAAGTGGACACCAAGTTGGGGCATTGGGAGGAAACACAATATGCAGGAGGAGCCATGTTCCTTGGACATACGGAGGATAAGCAACCCATTTCACAGTTTTCAGCTCAACCTTCTTCCTTCACTGATTTGAAACTGGAGAATAAAGTTGTCTACAGTACTGTTGGTGTCACCTAGTAGTATGACTGTCATAGTTAAAGGGCACATGCAAAGAGGATGCTAAAGGATGAGCTGTTGCTTTCCACTTAAAAAAACAATTTTTCCTTTCTTTGGGATCAAACTTCAGATTTCATACAGTGTAGATCCACTGTCATGGAAAAAGGTGGGGTATAAATAAATATACAGTATAATAATAACAGTAATCTCTGGAATGGAGAACAGCCAGCAGCTCTAGTTTGTGAGTTACCGTGACTCAGGGTCTGAAAGCTTTGTGTCTTGACCATAGGTATGAAAACCAACGAGATAACCTTGCTCAACAGTCTTTCAATATGGAGCAAGCCAATTATACCATCCAGTCTCTGAAAGATACAAAAACAACGGTAACTTTGGTTTTCATTTAAATTTTTACTTGCATTTACGTATGTGTTATAGTGGGTCTTAATATTTCACCTGGCTACTTCTCTAGGTTGATGCCATGAAACTGGGAGCGAAGGAAATGAAAAAGGCTTACAAGCAAGTAAAAATAGATCAGATTGAGGTAAGTTTCAGTGTTACATGAAAAATAATCACTGATGACTCCACAAGCATGTTTACACTTAAATCTGAATTGGAGAACCTCCCTTTGGAATGTGTCTTATTTTTATATCTGTCCCAAGGAATAAATATTATCAGTAGTATTTTGTATGAGCCAAACTGTTTTTGAGGCTAAAACTTTTTGTGAGCAAATATTATGTCAAATTTAAACCAAATGATACAAAGGGATTAAGTTATAAAGATCAGGTAAAAATGGATTTAAAAGGAAAGGAAAAATTGGAGACATAATAGGTTGAAATGTATAATATAGAATAAGATTTGAAAGAAGGTAAGGTACTGCTGAATATGAGTGTGTAAAAGGGAATACAGAAAAGGGAGGTGTGAGGAAGTCAGGAAAGAAGGTTATAAAAACAATAAGTAAAAAATTGGATTTTTATGTTTTTTATGTTTTTCTTCTATTTACCTTTTTATGTTTTCTATTGTATTTTTCTGTTTTTGTTTGATTGTGATAATGTTTTTCTTTTTCTGGTTGATTGTAAAGCTTGTTTTATTATTCAAAATTTCAATAAATATCTTTTTTTTAAAAAAAAAAACTTTTTGTGAGCAAAAAAGAAAGGCAAAATGCAGAATGTATATCTGAACTGCATACCAGTCAAGTTAATTAAAAAGATTTTGTTCATTTTAGGCAAATAAATAGGACCTAATGAATGCTTACCATTGTTTCACAATCAAATAGACCTCTTACCTCCTGTCATTTGGATTTATATTTCATAATAAACTTCAGGACTTGCAAGACCAATTAGAAGATATGATGGAAGATGCTAGTGAAATTCAGGAAGCGTTGGGTCGTAGTTATGGAACCCCCGAAATTGATGAGGAAGACTTGGAAGCAGGTGAGTTACAAATTAATTCTCGCTGCAAAGCTAGGATGTAATGGGTTCAGGCAGATAATGCAGGCTCAATTCCAACATTGTATATAATCTAGGTTAAGGACGATTAACTTTTTTGGTTTGCAAATCATTTGCAAACTGGAGACACTGTTTTGGGCACTACATGCACACACCACAACTGTGTACACTCCCCTCTCTGTCAGCAAGTAGGGTTTGAAAAAAGTTTTCTCCCCAGGCCTTTTTTTGTTGTTTGTGTGCAGGGGATGGTCTTCCTTGGAGGGTGTAGTTTGGGTAACAAATGATACCCTTCCCTCCCTGGCTGCAACCTCCATGAAGATCATCCTCTGCAGTGATTCAGCTTGGAAAAAAGGCTTTCCATTGGCCACAATGCAAAACTGTTTTACAGTCTAATTGCGTGATCCTTTCCTTGCCTTCCTTCCTGCAACCCTCACATTGTTCCTTCTCTATTGAGATTAGGTTTGTAGGCTTGAAATATGCCTTCTGTTGTATCTCTTTTGGTGCGGAGGGAGACACATTTTCTGCAGGAGTGAATACTGTCCTCAGGAAGACTGCACTTAGGCCTGGAAAAGTGTATTTTGTTGGCTAAAATATATGGCTTCCTTTAAACAACATATCAGCAGCCATTGGGTTGGAGGTGGGAAGAAGACCCTGCAGGAGCCTGGGAAGAACTTTGTTGGCACAGGTGTGCTCATGGGCACCTTGTTGGTGACCCCAGCATTAGTGTGATGTCCAAATTGATAAACCATTGGTGAGGTGCATCTGTGTCCCTCGTTACTGACTTTCAGGAAGAATCTCAAAACATTCCTGTTTATTAGGCAATTGATGGCTGAAAGACACTGTTCATGGCAACCCTGAGATTACCGGTTAAGGGAATCTTTAAAGTGTATTTTGTTTTAAGATGTTACATTATTGATCTTTTTGCTTTCCTGGGCTCCTTCAAGAGGGATATAAATTAAGTATTAGAGTTTATGCTATCTGAGGGCAATCTCTTCAGAAATGTTCATTTTATGTGCTGTACAATAGGTATTGAAATACTATTTCAAGTTCAGGGACAAGTTCAGCCATCCTCAGTTTTCCTGTTAGTGATAGACATTTTGTGTCCTAACAACAATTTTAGAGCTGGAGGCACTAGGTGATGAACTTCTAGCTGACGAGGATAGCTCCTATCTGGATGAAGCTGCATCTGTTCCATCAATTCCAGAAGGAGCGCCAACTGAAGCAAAAAACAAAGTAAGTCTTCTTTCCCACCTCATATTATGCGCAATACATTTACAACAGCGTCACCAAAATGAGACCCAATGGAATACAGTGCTTGGATAGGTTTATTGCCCTCATCCTTTTCTTTCATAGAATCATAGAATCATAGAGTTGGAAGAGACCACAAGGGCCATCGAGTCCAACCCCCTGCCAAGCAAGAAACACCACCAGAGCACTCCTGACATATGGTTGTCAAGCCTCTGCTTAAAGACCTCCAAAGAAGGAGACTCCACCACACTCCTTGGCAGCAAATTCCACTGTCAAACAGCTCTTACTGTCAGGAAGTTCTTCCTAATGTTTAGGTGGAATCTTCTTTCTTGTAGTTTGGATCCATTGCTCCGTGTCCGCTTCTCTGGAGCAGCAGAAAACAACCTTTCTCCCTCCTCTATGTGACATCCCTTTATATATTTGAACATGGCTATCATATCACCCCTTAACCTCCTCTTTTCCAGGCTAAACATGCATCTTTCTTTTTAATTATCTTGGGGGGGAATCATAATATATTTATTAGGAAATATATTTCTATCTTCAGTACCAATAATTAAGTGGAACATTCGAAGCTGCATTATAATGCAAGTCAGGACATTGGTCCACCTAGCTCAGTATTGCTTACAGCAATTGCCAGCCGTTCTCTAGGGTGCAGGCAGGAATCTTTCCCAGCCTTAACTGGAGATACCAGACATTAAACCCTGGAACCTTTTGCATGCAAAACATGTGCTTTGAGTTATGGCCCTTTCCCAGGTAATGTATTTGATTGAGTGAACAGCTGTGGGCAGTGCAATAAGGCAAACAATGTTGGCAAACAATGTTGAAGAAAACTTAACTATGGTTTGGCATGTAGTTTTATGTTGTAAACTGCCCTGTGATTGTCTTATGAAGGTTGGTATATAAATTTAATAAATAATCATTTTGCATGGTGTCGGAATTGAAAAATTAGGATTTGCAATCAGCCAGCAAGACAGAATGAGAACCCTGGTATGAAGTAAGTTTGCAAACCACAGTTTGTGGCTAGCTATAGTTTGGCACAGTGTTTGATTTGACAAGCTATCTGTTGCCATCACGCCACCTCAAGGTTGCTGTACCATAAAACTAGGAGTAAACCCACAAAGCTAGAGGCTGGAAAATAAAAGCAGACAGGTAGCTTGAAACCATGGTTTCCCTGGCAGCTCAAATCATAGCTTTGGTTCTCAACTATGGTTAGTGCAAAGCAAAGTTCAATGTTTGTTTAAATTAATCTTGTGCCTTAACCTTTTATGTTCTGTACACTTTCTAAGTACCATTTGCTGCTTAATTTAAACTTACGATGTAGTATAACACCCTGGTCCTGTATTTATATTACACCTTCATTGGGCAGACAAATGACGCTGACTCTTCCTCCATTTATATATGAAAACAAAATGAAATATTTCTCTGGCTATCCTCAAACTAAATCTTGGTTGTATTATAGATAATCCTGTTAAATGGTGGTCTCTTGCCAGCTGTTGTCCTTCTACATTATCTTTGCCAAGCAAACATAATATCAATCTTTGTTGCTAGCCTCCTTGAGTGTGTTAGAATGACAGTTGATGAAATATTAATAAACAAGTGGCTCCCTGTAGTGTGGATGCACTGGTAGGTTCACTGTTTGCTGGTGCTGATATCTCAGGATATAGACAGTAAGATTAACATACATATTTTATATACTTTATACTATTAACCACAGTTGTTTGCTTTTCCTCTCATAGGATGGTGTACTGGTGGATGAATTTGGATTGCCACAGATCCCTGCAACATAACTTCTCTAGCTCAGAAGGACTGCTGCTTTTCATCTTTCTTAAGAAGAATACCATGGGTGGTGCAGATAAAGCTTTCCAGTACCACTTGATATCACTACATAACAGAATGTAGAGCGAATGAGTGACAAATTCCCCTCCTTTTGAAGACATTTTATTACTAGCTTTTGTATTAACAGCAAGAAATTGGTACAACTCTTTCCTGCAGTGGGATCTGTTCACAAGTTCTGAAATTTGGCTTCATCACTCCTGTAGTGTTGTAGTATTATTCTGAAAATTACTTTGGGCTATTTATGGTTTTCTTTTATTTATATTTCTCCGGACTACAAAGGGCACTGTGATGGTATTTCTTAGATTAACTTTATTGTGCTTGCTTTAATCATGCATATTTTCTAATAATGCTACCATTTGCCGTTTATTGTGGATATATTTGCTATAGCCCTTAAATGTAGCTGAGTAACAAATAGAAGCAAAGGAGATTACATAAGGAGATTGTATAATCCATTTTGACCTAAATTATATACCGTTTAGGGTTGCTTGCTCTCTATAGTGTTATTTATTTTTTTAAGGTGCAGTTCCTTCTGTCTCAATTATTGTTAAATATCAAGATGTCAACTTTTTGATGTCATTGGTCTCCAGCTGGTACAGGTGCTTGTGAAACTATGGTTTCTTCCATTTCTGCATGGGAACTATTTATGTGTTTTGGAATCCACAAATTTCAAAAAGCCTGAAGACCTTTGTCCCTCCCCATGTCTTAGTTTAAAAGTCTGGTCAGTAGCTCATTTTATGGGAGGGCCACTTTGAGGAGGGTGGGACAAGTGGGCCCCCAAGAGGACAGTAAACCAGTCCCATTGTCAAAGCCACTACTCCCTCTGTGTACGTTGGTGTGGGTTGGCAGCTGGGACTTGGCCAGCTGCTAATACTCAAAGGGCTGGAATTGGCCAGGTAAAGGAAATAATCCACATTGCTATGTCACCTGCCATCTCTTCCTGCAAAACATATCCTTATCCTCATTAAGTTAAACAGGATACACTTGTCCAAAGTCAGTGTGAATAGGCTTCCACCCCAATGAGACAGTTTCTATTTGTGTAGTCTTTTTGTGTAGGAATTTGATGTTGCACTTCAATAAGTTCCATCTTGTGAAATGATGAATATGGATAATTCCCTGTAAGTGGTTGTTGCAGATGACTGTAGGGTGAGTGATGTCTTCAGCAGCCATGATGATTCGGGAAGGATTCCCTAAAAGGTAGCAAAGATTGACTGGGATTCCTTTAGGAAACTAGATAATGTTCAATAAAAACCAGTTGGCTGGCTGGCAATGGAGGTATCACAGGTAATAATCACATATGCTCCATAAAATGGTATGCTTATTTACCAAGACCGTTCCTGTTCAGAAATAAAACTGGTGAAGCTTTTTGTGGCAGGGAAGCAGGGCAGGCACTGGGGGAAAGTGCTCATTCTACATTTCTGCGTGTCAGGCTGCTGTTAAAGGCACAAGAGCAGCACCAAACACACAAACCCCAAATTCTTCTGCATAGACAGGGAAAAGCTGTCTGAAATGTCATATTCCCTCATACGAACATGCTCAGGTTCAGAGATCTTCAGAAGGGAAGCCTCTGCCCTGCCACCCTCACAGGCACACTCGGTGGGCATGTGGAAGACGGCCTTCTCGGTGGTGGCTGCTCCCAGACTTTGGAACTCCCTCCCTGGAGAAGACAGTGCTCCCTCCTTGCTGTCCTTCCGCCGGCAGGTGAAGACCACCTCGTTCCAACAGGCTGCTGGGAACCAACTGCTTCGAATGAAAGGGCTGGTGCTGTGCTGTTTTTGGTGGATTGTATGGTTTTAATAAAAAATAATAATACTGTAGATACACATTTAAGTTGTGTGCATTCAGCTTTACCTGCTTGGCAGAAAAACCTAAATGGCAGGTGTCTGGAGAAAAAAGAATGGCAGTCTCACCTGCCAATATGTTTTGAATGTATGTGCACTCCTTGGAACGTAACCCCTGCGTAAGTCAAGAGTTGCCTGTAATCACAAAAATAATAGTGTGCTGTAGAACCCCCTTGTTCCCAACAGGCTTTTAGGAACGGGCTGCTTCTAATGAAAGGGCTGGTACACCGCTTTTGTTGTGATTGCCTGTTTTCAAATAGTTTTATATAGTTTTAATTCTGTTACACAGCTCAGGACCTCAATACCTCTGCATACGAACCAACCAGAACCCTGCACTTGTCATCCAAGGCCCATCTGTGTGTGCCCCTTCCACGAGACAAAGGGGGGGACACGGCCTTTTCTGTGGTGGCTCCTCCTGGTGGACTGCTCTTCCCCGGGAGGCTCGCCTGGTGCCTTGGCTACATCTTAGGCCCAAGGTGAACACATTCCTCTTCCCCCAGGCCTGCAGCCATGGAACAGTCTGGCCTTTTCAATGGGGTGGGGAAGAGTGCTGTGGTGATTTCTTTTCTTGTAATTGCTTTATTGGGGTGTTTTTTTAAATTATACCATATGAATTAAATTTTTAATGTTGCACACCGCCCTGTGATCTTGGTAAGAAGAGCAGTATATACATTGAATTAATAATACTGTAAAGGATGCTTGGAAAATAGTTTCCCGTCCACCCCAAACGTTTCTTAGCTGGTCTTATTTTTAATTAGTACAACTGCCTTCGGCCCCTGTAAGGGGGGGGGGCGGTATAAGAATAAAAACAAGACAATAAATAATAATAGGGAATAATAATAAATGATGATAAGATAATAATAATAATTAAAAGTAGGTAAATGAATAAGCAAGCAAGCCAGCGGCGTCTACCCCGTCCTCGGGGTCTGGGGGCCGGAGGCGCGCCTCTCTCGCCGGGCTCCGGCTGCTCCGCCTCCTCCTCCTTCCCCGGCCGGCAGTTTCCGGCGCCGGAGGGCGGCGCTCGGCGTGGGCTCCGTGAGGGCGAAGCGGGGCATGGCGGTGCCCGGCGGCGGCGGCGGCGGGGGCTCGGCCCTGACGGTGACCGTCACCTACGGTGAGAGCGCGGCCGGCCGGGGCGGGGGAGAGCCCGGGGCTTCGGGCCTAGCGGCGGGCGGGCGGGCGGAGGGAGCCCGGAGGCCAGCGGGGCTCGGCGCGGGGAAGGGGCGGCCTCCCCGTCCGCCCCCGGCAGCCGCTCCCTCCCCCGGTGGATGTCTCCCCGCTGAGGGAAGGAGATGAGAGAGGGGGTGGAGGGGGTGGGCGGCACACGCAGACTGGCCCCCACAGACGCCTTCGCGCCCACATCCATCCGCCCCCCCGTGCAGATGTGCATTCATGCATCCATCCACCCGTGCAATTCATGTATACCTACATCCATCCGTGCATTTGTACGTGTGCTTTCCTCCATACACACATTGCATTGCTTGACCCCATTCCTGAAACCCAGGAGGTTCCAAGGCTAGAGTGCCTCAGAGCATGTGGGGATGTGCACAGTATTAGGAACCTAGGAGAAGAAGAACCGGCTCTTGCCAGTTTCTGTGATGTCACAATCTCCTTTGGCAGCCAGAGGTGTCATAGTTCCTCTGCTGTGATGTCAGTGGGGCCTGGACAGCTGGGCAACGGGGACGACTCGGAGAGGCTGTAAAGAGACTGAATTTTACCTCTGCAATGAGCTCAGCAGGGTGACCCTAAGCAAGCTCTTCTTGCCCTCTTCCCAAAATCTGTTTGAAGGGGGTGGGGAGAGGATATTGAACTGAAGTTTTTTTGGAAGTGCCACTGAAATTATATATACAAATGGCTCAAGACATTCAAAGTCATTCTCTTGTATTAAAGGTAAAGGTACCCCTGCCCGTACGGGCCAGTCTTGACAGACTCTAGGGTTGTGCGCCCATCTCACTCAAGAGACACTTCCGGGTCACGTGGCCAGCGTGACAAAGCTGCATCTGGCGAGCCAGAGCCACACACGGAAACGCCGTTTACCTTCCCGCTAGTAAGCGGTCCCTATTTATCTACTTGCACCTCGAACTGCTAGGTTGGCAGGCGCTGGGACCGAGCAACGGGAGCGCACCCCGCCGCGGGGATTCGAACCGCCGACCTTTCGATCGGCAAGCCCTAGGCGCTGAGGCTTTTACCCACAGCGACACCCGCGTCCCCCTTCTCTTGTATTATCAGCCACTATATATACATGTTTTTTACTAGGAGTAAGGTCAGTAAGAGAAGCTCTGCAGCACAATCTGATAAATGTGGGTAATGCAAGCTGGCTGTTCAGTGAATTCAGGGATGAGAAGCACCTTCATGGCTCTACTGGGGTCAGTAATAAAGACTGGCCAGTGGATAACAGTCTTTGAGGGATGAAGGCAGAGACCCCAATGTGGGTTGAGAGGCCTTTGGGTTCACACCAGCCTTCTTTGTTGCGGCTGATGGGGTTGTAGTTCAAAGGCACCAGGATGGCAAAGGCTGAGCCCCTGGGAGTGTACGCTAGGGGCCGTATTCAACTAAGTCATCATACTCAGAATAGACCCACTGAAATCAATGGACTTAAAGTTAGCCACACCCATTTATTTCAATGGGCCTACTCTGAGTATGATTATGGTTGAACCTTTCATGTGTGAAGCTTTACCCCATTGCTTTATCTCCATGTTAGGTAAACTTTATTTCTTAAATACTTGCTTGTAAGACTGTAGTTTGCAGCACGTATGGGCTGAGCTAAACCCAGTTTGTAATCTGAGTATATTTTCATTATGGTATTTTCAGGTAGTGAAAAACACAGCCTTCAGGTTGCTTCTCAAGAAGAAGGCAGTCAGCCAACAGTACGTGATATGGCTCTCTTAATTGAACAAGTAACTGGAGTTCCAATTTCTTTTCAGAAACTGATATATAAAGGTAAGTAACCTTTTATATTTGCAGCACAATCCTATGCATGGCGACTCAGAATTAGGCTCCACTGAGTTCAATGGGGCTTACTCTCGTGTGTATAGGATTACATGCAAAATATCAGTTAGAACTGGTCTTAAATAACCATATACAATTGGGTGAGGATTTATTTTTGCTGAATAGCTATGCTAATTTCAACTCTTTTTAAAAATTGATTCATCCAGAGAACAGATCATGAATCAGTTAAAACTACAAAGTGAGTTTTATTTATCACATGCTGAAGTACATGCATGTATAGTGAGAGAGAACAATTAATCACCAATATTCATTCTTCTGTTTTTCTTACTAATATATTTGCCCAGGCACTGTGTATTTGCGTCAAGCTTACACAACTTTTGGCTCATCAACCTGAACATAGCCTACTAGGCATGTATGATATTTGGCACACCTCCCCTTTTTTACAGTTTCATGCATTACACAGGAGATATGAGAGGCTTGTTGAGCCCATGATAAAGAGCTATAACGGATGGTGGGCTCTGTTCACATTAATGGGTTACAGTGTGCTGGGTCAGTTTTAATGTTTCAAATTTATTATAGTGCATGTAGTTTGAAAAAGGAACATGAATGGTATTACTGCTACACTAATTTCCGGGATTCTCGTAACCATTTTAAGGTATTAGGAACCTATGAGAGAAGAATAACTGGCTCTTGCCAATTGTTGAATTTTATTTTATTTTATTTTATTAAACTGAGTATCAAAGTAACGCTAAAAACCTTTTCAGATGATTTCATTTGTCTTCTGTTTCTGTTTTGTTTTGAAAAAGTTTTGTTTTGTGCTTTCCTTTTAAAGAGAACTAAGCTGGATATTTTATCCAGTAAATAGGCCCTCTTAAAAATTATGTTTAATGAGTACAGCCTGTTCCAGTATAAGCAGCTGATTCTCTGTGATGTCACAATATACTTTGGCAGTCTGAGGTGTCATAGCTCCTCTGCTGTGATGTCAGTGGGTGCCTGGACAGCTGGGCAACTGGCTCAGAGAGACCACAAAGACCTTCGAATGTGAATTTTGAAATCTATGAACAACTGTTGTTATGTCATTAAGGTGTGCCATAGGCTTCCAAGTGATACCTTGTATCAATATCAACAACGGAGCATTTGTGGAGCCTTTTATGTTAATCAGGTGGTGCTTTCAGCTTTATGCTGGTATAGGTGTATAAAAGGTATGCAAGTTGTTCCATATTTGTAAATGAACGTAAAACTGACTCTTCATTTTGTTTGCTGAAGTTTCCCAAAATAAATTTGTAGGTTTCTTTGTTTTTCCTCCTAGGAAAATCCCTGAAAGAAATGGAACAGCCTTTGGCAACATTTGGAGTTAAAAACGGTTGTAAAGTCATGCTGATTGGAAAAAGGGTAACTTTCATTTTATGAAGGCTGTCTCTCTCTCCCCCCTCCCTCCCTCCACACACACAAACACACATGGATGAACATGTATCGTTGTGCTTCCTAATATGAGAAGTAATATTCCCGCCCTCCTTGGTATTCAATAAGACATTTGCTCACTTGCTATTTCTTCTCAAGCGCAGAGCACTTTCTCCTTGCTCTCCAGTAAGGAAAACTGACCATGCTTTTGTTTCCCCGTTTTTTCACTTTTGGAGGGGGTAGTTTTATCCGATCCCTGGCTTGGATCCACTATTTGCTTTTTTTTTTTTTTTAATGATATTTATTAAGAATTTTGAAATTACAAAAAAGACAAGAAGAAAAAGAAAGAAGAAAAGAAAAAAATAAGTTAAAGTAACAACAATAGAAAGACAAACAACAGTCGAACATTACAACTCAGTAAAGTTCAAAAACAAAAGGCAAAAGCAAAACACATAACACATCAAAAATCCCAAAAGAAAAATAAACCACAAAAATTTAAAAACAAATCCAATATTCCCAAAACCTTAACGGTCATAACCTTATTTCATCGACCTCCTCACCCCTCCTTTTCTTGTATTCTAGTTATTGATTATACCAGCAAATCCTTTCCATTTTTCATAACATCCTGTCATTAAATTACCTTGATCTATTTAAACATATATTACATAAAAATAAAAAAAGACAAAACCCTAAAATTTTAAAGTCTTATTCATACCAATTTCTCTTAACTTTAAATATTCTTGCAACACTCTTTTTAACAATTCTGCTAAAGTCAAATAATTTCATTCCAACATTTCCCCACTATTCATTAATTTTCCAAAGCAAATCCTAAATAAAAAAGAATTTTTTCCAATCTTCATCCATGGTCTCTTCCCCTGGTCCCGGGTTTAGTCAGTCCTTTCTGTCCCATCCATCTAGTTCATTAACCTGGTAGTCTTATGTCCGAGGCCCTTAAGTCTCTTCCATGCCCCCTCTGCGAGTCTTCTTCATATTTATATCTGTACTCCACACTGAACTCCATGTAGTTTTTAAAAACATATTTCAAACCCCCTTCAAAATTGAGGGCCCCCACATTCCCAAACTCCTCACGACCCATTACCAGACTTGGAAAGTCAAAACCTCCCTGCATAGGGGGGTCTATCCAACCCCCCATATCCAAGCCAAATACAACTTTGTCTCTCCAAATCTGGCTTTTCCCCAGTTCATTTGTCAGTTCCAACAGCTCATTTTCCTGTTGGGCCACAACTCCCTCCATCTCTATCACCTGAGGTCCAACAACTACCTCTTCCCTTATCTGATCTGTCAGAGCTGATTCCCGAGTGGGTTCCATGTGGATACCGACTGCCTGTCCAGAATTTCTAGTCGTAGCAGTCATCAAATCCACCTTCTCATGTAATTGCTCTATTAAAAGGCTTGTCAAATCCATCTTCTCATGCAGCTGTTCCAGTAAAACGCTTGTCTTGCAAAAAGCACGCACCAGAGCCTCTGAATACATTGTTATAAGGTCAGCAGTCCTTTCCCACGATGTTAATCTATTTACAGCTGCAAGGCTTCCCAGTTCAAATTCAGTAACAATGTCCCAAGCTCCCTCTAGGGGGAAAACTTCACTTTGTATCCATCTCTTTTTTCAAAGGCAGATCTAATAACAAACTTTCTTTTTTCTAGTATTTTGTTAATACTTGTTCCTTTAAAATGCAAAGGAGAACAATGGAATCACTATCTTTCTCTTCTCTTAACTATCTGTCAAAGGCGTTTGTCTGTAGTCAATGAACTTCCCAAATGCTTCTGTCCTGACACCCCGCTCCCAGGTTCAAGACTATGGCAGATTACTTTTCTTTACACTCTCTTCTGCAGGTTGAAACAGTCCGAAAAAGAATCCCCCCTCTTCTCCTGCTTCCAAAGGGAAGCAATTCAGCAATTTTTAATGATGAAAGTTGATCCTTTGAAAGCGATTTTTTTTAGACTTTAGTTTGCCATGTCTTTGCTTTACTCTATCTACAAAAAACGGAAGGCTGACTTCCTGTTTAGACCTTCTCGTTTCAGTATCAAATTAAAATAGATTTCTTAATCCAATTTTCCTTTCTACTCGCAGGTCATTATTTATAGTCCAATTGTCCAAAGTTGAGGTACTCACGAGTAGTTGTTTTAAAGACCGAATTGTCCCAGGAAAAAGGCAGCGCTCTCCAGCAACGGCTATGCGGCTTCGCTCCACGGAAGAAGCGGTTGACTCTCAGCACCGTGCCGCTTCCCCCTCGTCGCTCTGGAGCCCTTTACGGGTTCCTTTACGGGTTGGGGGGGCGCTAAAGGTGCCCGCCGAGTCCCATGGTCACAGGCTTCATCCACCTGTGATTTTGAAAGGGTCCCCGCTTCGCCGTAGCGGGAAAGACCCGTTTCCCGTGGAGCTAATCCCTCCAGATCAGAGGGAATCCGCCATTACCGATGGCGCCACCCCGGAAGTGGATCCACTATTTGCACTGCTGCAAAGCCTCTTGCACAAGCATGAGCAGACGATGTCTCTCCATGCAGCACTGCAATGTGTTACAGGATGAGAGGTGGTAAATAAGGAAGGCTGCAGCACATAAACCCTAGTGGATCACAAAAAGATTTTGAAAAGGAGCTTGCACAAGCAGATGAACTTCTCTAGATTTAGTGTCAGCTATCCTGCAATACTCCTCCACTAATTTAGAAGCAGCTCTTCCACTCAAGCCCCTGATTTTAGTGGGACTTAGTGCCTAACTTGCTGTGGATTCTTTCCCCTTTTTCTAATGTCTTTTCTGCCTTCTGTCCTCTCTGTTCTTCCCATGTTGCTCTTCTTTTGTTCTGTTTATCTTAAAATGTATTATTTTGCCTTTAAAAAAATCGTTCACAGGGCAGTATGCAAAACATCTTCAAATAATGGAGCATTAATTAACCAATAACCTTGTTTTACTGTACTTGTTCCTACCCAATAAACTCTCTGTTCTCTACTGAAATTTTTATGTGCCTTGCATATCTGTGACAATCCTTACTTCCCTCTCAAACAGAACTGGAAGGAACCCAAATCATCTAGATTGGGGTGGGGAACCTGTGCCCCTTGATGTTGTTAGAGTACAACTCATATCATATTTGAACATTGGCCAGGCTGGCTGGAGCTGATTGAGTCCAGCAACATCTGGGGGACCACATGTTCTTTACCCCTGATCTAAATAAACTTGCTTTTTGAAAAGGAACCCCTCCTTTTCCTAACGACGCAATTTAAAATACATTCATCTTCCAAAATCTTAACTGTAGCTGTATGTTACTGCTTTGGATACTGTTTTCTTTTGCCGAAGAACATAAAATAATAACTTCTAGGTACATATTAGTATTTGCCAACAGCAGTAACCATCTTTACTTGGTTGCACATCCATTGAAATAGTGAGTCTATTGATTTAAAAACAACAACCAACAACACGAAGAAAATTGATAACTGTTAGAAGTAGAGAGAAGCGAGGGTGCTGAATGGAGTAATAGCAAGCTTCTAAATCTTTGTTTATGTATGCTAGAATAAATGTATCGTAAATGTTAGGATTGATGTAAACCTGTGCCATCTTGTTCTAAATTACCCAGAATAGTCCAGAAGAAGAGACTGAATTAAAGAAATTGAAAGATTTGGAGAAATCTGTGGAACAAATAGCAAAAAAAATAGAAGATGTTAATAAAGAGCTTGGAGGTATTCAAAAAGTAAGTTGATTTCTTATTTCAATAGTTTACCTAGCGTTATAATTTTTAATTGTTGATACTATATTTCCTAATTTAAATGAATTTACCTCAAAAGATCGGTCACCTATCTTGATATTTATTCCTCTTCTAGAAAAATGCTCTAGCTATTTCTTGACTCCTCTTTTAATGCTTCAAAATAATAAAGGGTGTATAATAGTATTTTGATAAACAACATGATAAATTATATTATCTAGATAAGATGTCTTCAGGTATGCTATGAATAAATTTTTATGAGAAATTACAATTTCCATACAGGGATTTCTAGCAAAGAATCTTCAAACTGAAGCTCTTAACCAGTTGGACAAGCGGATCAAGGGAACTGCTGAACAGTTTATGAAGATTCTGGAACAAATTGATGCCATTGTGAGTAAAGAATTATAGCAATAAGTTGTTGATCTCTGAAAGAACGTTTAGTTGTACTTTTAAGTAATATTGGCTTCAGAATAGTAGGCTTTCCTAGTCACTTAGTAGACACCAAATTAATGGCTTTTTAGGGCTTTTTTATGAACCTGTTGTTTCCCCACTGTTAAATAAGTATCTGTTACACTGCCCATTTTCTGTAACACAAGAACAATAGTTCCATATACACATTTTGCATAAGGCATTCTATTATCATTTATCAAATTATTCACTGTATTCAGTTTACTAAGGCTCCCACTCCAGAAAAGCGATACAGCCGTCCCCCCACTCACGCAGGGGCTTGTGCATAAGGGAAATCACGTCAAGTGGGGAGCACCTTCTAAAAAGCCTCTAAATGCCTGTTTTCTCCTACTCTCCAGCTCTCCACACAACTCTCTCTCTCTTCAACTAGTTGAAGTTCTGGGGCCGGCTGGAGGACGCGTGGGACAGCAGTGGCTGCTGCACTGCCCCATGTGTCAGCTGTTAGGTGGGGAGGCTGAGCAGCCTAAACAAAGCCCCACTGCACCTCAGGTCTCTTTGGGGCTTCCTCTGCCCTCACTGACGTCCTCTTCAGGCTCTGGAGAGGGCCTCCTTACGAGGCATGAAGACTGTCTAGCTCTCTCCCACCATTTCCTTGTATGATTCTATTTATTTATTTTCTGGCGCTGCACATATGCACAGTTGTGCACGAGTAGAACACCCGTAAGTGGGGGTAAGCCTGTATACATACAGTTGCCCTCATGCATCAGAGGCATTTTGAACAGCAGTTTCCCTTTCCACTAACTGGGAAGATGGTACCAGAACTCTGGAAAGGAGGCAGGAATAAGCGCCTTTCAAAGCTGTGTAGATGAGCTGCTAGTGTTCTAAAGAAAAATAGCTTTCTCGCACATTTGGAACTTCTCATGTACTCCTCCAGACTAGCGCCCAAAACTTACAAATTCAAATGCAATTTGTCCTCATAGAAGCAGAACATTTTCTTCTACATATGTTTAATGTTTTGCTCACAAATGGCAGAAAAGACAAAGAAAAGCGAATCCTGTTTTTATGTATTAAAAAAAAACACTTTTTAAAAGTTGGAAGGACCATTTCATGCACAGTGATTTCCCCACACCAATATTGCTTCTCTGTAGGAAAAAGTGTTTGCATTGTGTTTATCGTAACATCACAATTGGCAGAATGTGTCTGTTTCACCAAAGGTATACATGATAGAAGTCTGCAGTGCATCACAGCTTCTTACCATGTACACATGCAGCAAAATAGGTACATAACATGTTCCTCATGAGTGTATCTGCTCTTTCTTGCACAAAAATAATAACTGAGTCTTAAGCTGTTAGATTATAATGTGAGAGGTTTTCTTCTGCTAGGCTTGTGGGATTCTGGGTCCATTTGAAGTACAGTCTATTACACTGGCTCGGGCTTCAATAGCTTTAAGAGAACTAAGTTTTTGTCAATGTATTGTAGGTTAGGAAGACTAATACATAGCGAGGTTCAATATCCATCTGTAACTACAAAATCAGATTGAGGTTTTCATTTATTACAGTATGCATGCTAAATATTAGCTCTTTTTGTCCACAAAGAAATTGGGAGATACTTTCCTTTAACTACTTATTTTTTACAAAACATTTGTAAAATGTTCCTAGACAGCTTACAAGTACAGTGGTACCTCTAGATACGAATGGGATCCGTTCCGGAGCCCCGTTCGCATATAGAGGTAAACGTATCTAGCGACGGTACGTCTGCGCATGCACGCGTCGCTTTTCGCCGCTTCTGTGCATGTGCGTGACGTCATTTTGAGCGTCTGCGCATGCGCAAGCAGCAAAACCTGGAAGTAACACGCTCTGTTACTTCCGGGTTGCCACAGAGTGCAACTCGAACATGCTCAACTTGAAGCAAATTTAACCCGAGGTATGACTGTAGATCAAATGTTTAAATGCCAAAACTTCCATTCCTTTTATCATTTCTTAGAATACATATTTTAGAACCTTATTTATAGGTTGCAAATCATTCATTCCTTTAGGTATTCAGCTAATTTTTATTCAGAGTAGACCCACTGCAATTAATGGATCTTAGTCTTATTCATTAATTTCAATGGGTCTTCTCTGAATAAAAATTATCTGAATACCACACTGAAAGTCCTGATTAATTACATTCTAGCTCCAACAGAGCTAGGAGAATGAGATCAAACACTTTTGTGTTAATAGCCAGTCATTGTGTTCCTCATTTATACTTGAAGAACTTGTTTAAACATGCATTAGTAACTTTAGAAAAATGAACTGATGTGCTTATGCAACTTCATTAGCTAGACTTTGCAGATACGAGGGGGTGTCTGTAAGACTGCTAAAATAAAGATGCACCTTTAAATAATTAGATAACTGGTTTTTGTAAGCTTTTCAAACTATTTTGGAGATGAAAATACTAGTTTTGTAACCTTTAAAAACCTATTTTCTCTTTCAAATATTGGACTAATTTATGTTCTGACCATTGAATAACTAAACCTAGAGATGTTATAAATTTATTACTTAGTTAACTAAATAGCCATTCTTCTTTTTTCTTCTAAAAGAGCCCAGCGCAGCAAACATCAAAATATTAAAAAAGAATAAAAACATCTTTGAGATATTGTAAAGCTAATTAGGAACCAGCTAAAAAACATTTCAAAGCACTTACAGCATCTAAAATCTTTAAGAGAGGGTAATGTGGGTTTTCCATAAAATTTTGAACTGGAAAATCTCTGAAAAAGTTACACTGCTCAACTGAAAGGGGTGTGAGTTAGTATTTTTATTTGACTTACATTGGTTTAAAAAAAGGCCTTTAAAAAGTAATTCTGATTTTACATGCTGTGTAAAATCTGAAAGGTTTTTCCAGTAGCCTAAAGTAGTTGAAGTATTTGCTTAATCTGTACTCGGTGCAATTCAAAAAGATCAAATTCTTCACTTGGAAATGATTTTTATTGGAATGTTTTAAGAGGACATAGACCTTGGGGGTTGCATAATGTAGTGTTTACCATAATAATTAATAATGCAGAGTTGTATGGAAGGGCACAAACTGGAAGATGCAATTGAAGTCCAAACAGATGAACCCATCCCAACATTTTAATATTTCATTATCACTAATGTAGCAGTCCTCTTCGTCACTACAATAGTTCTGTGATGTAGGCTAGTTATTCCCACTGTAAGATGGAGAACTGAGATCGACTTGCCTACAAACCATCCAGGGAGCCAGGTCTGAGTTAAAAAGGGATTGCAATCTGGTCCAAGTCCAAAATATCTGTTGGACTACACTGGCCAATATGGATCATAAGAAGGTTCTACAACAACTATGTGAGATACAGCTTGATACAGATCAGGGAGAAATTGCCTTCCCACCCCTAAAAAAAGCAGTGATCATAAAATTATAATTATAAAAGCAACAATATCCAGAAAATAAAAAGCAACAGGGACAGCACACTGAGAATAGATAACACATTCAAGAATGCCTTACTGAAAAATTCATTAGAATAATAATGTTGTTAATTGAAGCCTGAAGATAAAGCGATCCGGCCTGATTTCTCAAGGCAGAGGCTAGTTTCATAGCTTGGCCACAACCACCAAGATGCACCTCTGATGGTAGTGGGATGCAGAACCTCCTCTGGAGACTGAAGTGTGCAGACAGGTTCATATGGGTAGAGGGGGGTTCTTTAGATATCAAAGTCCCAAACCAGCTCTGAATTGAAACAGCCCATCTGAAAACGTTCCAAATGAATAATGAACCAGGCTCCCTCTGCAAGGTGTTGCTATCACCAAGCCCTTAAATTGCAGTTGGTGACAGGGTCTTGCACAAGCACCCCAAGCATTAAATTATCTTGATTGATGAACTTTATTTTAATTGAATATTCAAATGTTATTGTAACTCAAGGTGTATTGCTAACTTCACCTCTTAAAACCTTGAATAGTTGGACAACGTATTCCTGGAGAGGAGACGTAAGCTGACTTAAGGTAAAAAGGAAAGATGGTGAGATCTGATTTGAATGTTACTGTAATGTTTTTCTCACACCACCAACTCAGAGTTGGTGACGTTAAGATCTGTTTGGTGCTGTGATCCTGTGTTTGCCAGTTGCCTAGTGAATATGAGCTTTCAAAACACAGTCTTGGGGATCTTGTTGAGTGTTCACAACCAGGGCTATTTCTGAGCGGATTCCTTAAGTAACTGATGTGAAGCCTGCAGTTATGACAAAATTACAAATGTCATGTTCCAATCATATATATTATCTATCTATCTATCTATCTATCTATCTATCTATCTATATATATAGAAGAGGCGTAAGGTGCCCTTCAAATATTCTTGGACCAGCTCTTATCAGCTCCTGTAAGCATAGCCAATGGTCAGGGAGTTTCTTTATTAATTGAATTTATATCCCACCCTTCCTTCGTGAGGAGCCCAGAGTTGTAGTCTGACAACACTCAGTGGGCCACAGGTTCCCCATCCGTGGTTCAATACTGACATGACCATTTGTTTCTCCCTATCATTTTTAACAAGTTTCCCTTGGTTCCCTGTAATGCACTTTTGAATTATCTATGACAATTGAGTGAGCTTCTTGTATTACTTTGGAAATTCTTAATTGCGTTTTCCTCTTGCTCGGCACAGTGTTCCCTGCAAAATGCAGGCCTTCCTCTTACAGAAGGTAAATTGTGTTTTAGAACTCTCCACTGAGGGAAACGTTTAACCTAACTAACACAGTCCCTATTTTCGGAATAGAATAAACCTGCCATAACACCATTTAGGATCCAGAATGGTTCAGAGGATATTTCTTGGACAGTCTGATGTATGCTTTGGTGGCTAAGAGTATGAGCCAGGAAATCACTGGTTCAAGTCTAGCCTCAGTCACAAAGTCACCAGGTGTCTCAGCTGTAGCCTCCATCAGCAGTATGGGATGATAGTACTCTAGGACGTTGTATTGAGCACTTGAGAATCCTTGCTTGATATTTATCTATTTTATTTAAGGGCTGTATAACCTGCCTTTCAACAGGCCCCCAGGGTCTCTTACAAAAAGTTAGAATTACAGTGGCTGATATTCAATGTTCATTATACTCACAGTAGACTCATTGAAATTAGTGGACTTTCCATTTCAGTGTGCCTGTTCTTAGTATGTTTTAACATTAAATATCACCCAAAAAATTTAAAACAACCACTTTGAAATAAACACAGTATGAAAGAGCACTGTTATTTAAGTAATCTTTGTGCCCAAATACATTTGTGCAGTCAGGAGATTTTTCACCATATCAGTCTAATTTGGCAGACTGAGGTGTCCTCTGAACCATTTTGTTCCACTGGGATAATACATCAATCCTTCTCCAAGTTCATAATTTTATGTCTTGCTTATCAATAGTATCTACCGTATATATACTGTGCACTAATAATTCTGTGCCAAGATAATTCTCACAATTCTGTGCCAAGAAATCTGGGACCTGTATATATTTTAATATTTTTTTAATACCTTGTTTTTCATAATTCTGCTTTTTCCAGTTATGTGGTAGATTAAGAACTATGCTTGCCCGTGATGCCTTGTGCCGACAGCTAAAAATCCATCCCAGTCCATCCTCTGATTTAGGTTTCAAAGTGTGGGGGTCACTTTCTCCATTCTTCACAACATTGGAGGCTAGCAGTATTTAGCGGGGAAGGACAGCTGATAATTTAATACCTGGTGAAAATTTTCAAGTTGGTCAGGCATAATTGTAAAATATACATACATACATATATATACCGTATATATAGGCGACCGTTGTTGAAAACCTGTGTAGTATAGATTTTAAATCCCAAATGAAAGGTCAATATTTCATCCATATTTGTTCATTCTGAAAAGTTGTTATTTAAAAAGAAACTCTCTGTGGAGATCACTGTGATGTGTCTGCACCATGATTTCTATAATTAGCTAACATTTCTGGGCCCATACTTGGGCCTAAGCAAAACTAAGGTGACACTAGTGTCAGCTTATATGCAAAAGAACCCTGTGTTTAGAGTTAAATGGTTATGGAAGCGGCATTCAAAATTAGCTTGTAAATGACAAGGAGGACATTTTTTGCATTTGAAATATTCAGGAGAGAAAGAATTAACACAAGACTATCCAGGGTGCAATGAACACAATTTGGGTGTGTAATAAATGGGTTGGATAGTTTTAGGGTCCGCCTACAGAATAAATTCAGGAGAAGGCACACTCCTCTGTCAAGTTTAACCAAGAGCCTCACATGTGGACCTGAATTCCACTTTCATAGCACTTTGTGTTGCTTGATGAGGAACTTGTGTGAAGAGGTTTTTTGTTTGTCTGTTCTTTTGAAGGCTAGGTGGCGGCAGCTTCCAGTGGAAATGTTAAGAGCTCTAGTATCTATTGTAACTGAGTCTTTCATTTTGGTAAGCCTGCTTTGCAGATGCTATAACTGTTCAAATGGCCTAGAATTGCACATAACTTGTGAGAAGACACACAAAGTCATATTTATCTGCTCTGCAGTAATTTATGGCAGGAGTGGGGAATGGGATCCAGCCGGCAGACCAGATAATCATCCCCCCAACAGGCCAACTTGGACAGGTGGACAGTGCTACCCACTTGTCAATTTCCTGACACCACCGTGGAATCATGTGTCCATTTTTGACCACTGCAAAGCATTTTGCCAGTGCCACAATCAGCTGGTTATCAAAACTTGTGAAGGCAGATGTATGGCACAGCGCATGACCTGATTTCGGGTTCTTGCGAAGCCCCTTGCACATCACTTTGTAGGTATGGTCAGTGCTGCTGTGTCACCTACATGGACTGAGTAATGAATTTAGATTATATAGGTGATTGGTTCTGTTTAGGCTGTCATTAGAATTGTGCATATACCTACTGAGGTACCAATTGCAAAAACTATATTTGGACAAACAACTTTATATATTGCTTTTATAATTAGACACCGTCCATTTTGTTTTGCCACAGACTCTCCCAGAAAACTTCAGTGACTGTAAACAGAAAAAGAAGGGGCTAGTGAAAAAAGTTCAGGTAAGTCCTGTACCAAGTGTAACTGTGTTCATCTGATTAGGAAGTGGAACTTCCACGTCTCTTGAAAAATCACGTGGCCTCTGTTAAAATCTCAAAAACAAAACTCCAAACTTTCAGTCATTTGATATGCATATAGACAATCTCATTAAGAAACAGAGAAATAATTTTTAAAAGCAAATAAGTGTATACATGTTTGTATCAAGAAGTGAAGAAAAAACAAGCATCGTCCTAGCTATGTGTTTATTACCATTTGTATTGGTTACATTCCCTTGGAATTGCATTTTAAATTTCAGAAAATGTAAACAAAATAGTAGTCCAGAATAGCATGCAGTTTGACAAAAGCACCTAGAAGTCACATTGCTCATCAGTCTCAGGCTCTCTCCCACTCCTCAGAGGAGCATTCAGTAGTTGAACACCTGGTCATCTCTTCTTCTTCTTTTTTCTTGCAGACTTTCTTGCAGATAGCAAACGTTTATATTTGAATAGCTGAATGGCAACAATTTCATGGATTCCCAGTGTTAATCTACTGGTTCCTAAGTAGTCAAACTATTGCTTGCAAACTGGGAGTGAGCCTTGGGAATGCATGTGTTCCCTTTCGGGTGTGTCTTAACCCCTCCTGTTCCTTTAACTGTGGTTTTGCATTACATTTGCACCATTGCCTAATTTTGGTAAACACTAATCATGCTCCCTCTCAGCTGTGATTTACAAGCCCACTATCAGTTTGGACTCTTGGTCAAGATGGAAACCATGATTTTCAGATGTAAAGCTATGGTTAAGAAGAACAGGAAGGGAGGGTTCAATTCAAATTAAAGAGCGTAAAGAAAGCTAGAGGGAGGGAGCACCCATTCCTTAGGCTGGCTTCCAAATCGCAAACTGGTTATTGCTACACCAGATCTTAGGTATGTTTTAATAGAAAGAATTACTTGTGCCCATAGCTCATAAGCTAAGTTGTTCTTGTTGTCTTTCCTATATAAAAAAAATACTATGCTTGGTTTTTAGATACCCTATTGCATTAAGCCTCATTGTCCTTAATTTTGCTTTTAGGGTTTCCTTGCACAGTGTGATACAGTGGAAGGCAGTATTGGTCAAGAAATTGATAAACTGCAGTTGAAGAACATGGCCCTGGCAGAATGAGGCATTATTTTAAGTAACTAGGAGAAATAATTGCTCTGTGAGCAAGAAGAAGAGTTTGCTCTTGATTTTGGAGCACCTGTTTAGTATTCAAAATTTTATTTTAAGCAGAGTCCAGTAATCCTGTTGCATGTTGACCATTGCTTACTGGTTGTCACGTGTTCTGCTTAGATGTAAAGCTCTTCTTTCCAAAAAATAATACAACACATTCTGCTGTTTTTCTTGACTATATTTCAAAACATGCCTTTGTATGATCATATTTGTTTCAGCTAAACTACTTGTTGCTTTCCTTCATTAATCGTTCAGAGCAACTACTGTAACTATGATGCTGTTAAGTAAAATTGTATGTGTTCTCAGATGTAGGAAAGATTTAACCACCTGAGGTTTTATCTGTCTTACTTTCAGGATGCCTAAATTTGAATGTACTGTAAGATGTATTGTGCTTTTAACTAGTGGCTGAACATCGATAAGGTCCTTGATGGTCATTTTTACATATTTGTGATATATTGTGTATATGTTCTGTGTTCTCTTTGGGTAGTGGAGGACATTCTGGAGCAGGAAATTCCCATCAGACTTCCTGTCTCCTACGGTGGGGTTAGTCACATGAATGATGAATGTGGCACAACAGCCTCACAAGAGTTTGGCCTACGCCAGCTACTTGGTTAGCCGCATGCTTCTGTTGTGAAGCCTGCTGAGCAAAACATTGATTCCCCTGTGCAGCAGCTCCCACCCCACCTATCCCAGAGTCTCTCCTCCATACAGCTAGCAAAGGCATGGAAATTCACCAAAACCAAATCCTGAGGAGAATTATGGGTCCTGTAGTGCCTAGGTGCTTCACTTGCCTAGGCTGGTGAGGATAATGTGTACAGTTTTACACATAGCTACCCTTAGGAAGTCTCAGCAACATGCAGACAAGCAGCTTGGCATGTGTGCCTGGTCAGTGCGGGGAGGAAGCAACATAAGCAGCAACTGCTCAGGATGACCCCCTCCGCTCTCTGATGGTATCCATTGGAAAGGTTGTGGTGTGGGGGGTCCATTCTAATGCCCTCCAGCTGCTGGGCACCACAGGGGTCCACACCTTGACCACAAAGTGCACAACCCTGCAAAAATTCAGTTAGATTGCTGGTGATTGCTTTCCTGCTGCATTAAGATGACAGGCGGTGCTTTTCTCAAGATTGCATGCTGCTGAATCAGGCTAAGCTAAGCAGCAGCAGTGGGCTGAGAACATTGGTGTAAGCAAAAAGTGGCAAGCTGTCTCACCTGCTTCTCATCCACCCCTCTGTAAGGAGAAGAGGAAGCCCTTTCCATAGTGTAAACTGGTGTTAGAACCTATTACAAGCAAGGAGGAGGGAGAGCTCTCTGGGAAGAAGCCCAGAGAACCAGAGTCTACGTCTACCTCTTTATTTGCCCCAGAGAATTTCCAAGCCCTGTTGCTCAAAGCAGTTATGAAGCCTAGAGGCAGCAAGTAGATGTTTGCAAGCGAGGGGAAGCCTGTAAAGGAATTTATAATCCTAGCTGGAACTCTGTGAATCTCAAATGAAAGGGAGAGGAGTGGGATTCCCCCACCCCTTTTAGCAAATCAACTCAGGAATGATCATGTTATACTACCTACCCAAGAACTGTCCGGAGACCTTTCCTTCCAAGAAAGGAAAGGGGTTGCAAGGGACTGAACAAATGAATTTGCCCTCTGCAGATTCCATGAGGCTTCTGCCATCTGTAATGTCCTCAGCGGCTTACTCTTCTTTTCACCAAGGCCTTAAATGTGGACGCACGAGTTCTTTCAGTTCACCACCAGAGCAATGGACTGAGTTGTCTTACTCAGATGCAAGTTTCAGCTCAGAAAGTTGGTCAGTAGTCCAGGCTTCAACTAAATTCAAAGTAGCCCCCTGCCACCCTTGCTGCCACTTGAGGAAAATCTTAAAGATATAAAAACAAAAGATTAAAGGTTGTGCCTTCTACAGTACTTCAGTCTTACAACATCTTACTCAAATTAAAGTGTATCGGAGACACTCATGGCCAAAGGGGGTGGCATTAGCAGCAGCAGTGTTCTCCAGTCACAAAGTGTTGGTCAGACTCTTGGGGTCGGGGGCAATAGCAAATGGCAGGCTGTCACCAAAGGGAAAAGGATGTTGACAAAATTCTATCTGGTATAAGACTAGCATATTCCAGAGACTATCGGGTAAGGAAATGGTAAACAACATATGTGCTTGATTTCCCCTCCCTTCCCCCTGGTTTGCTGGAGCTTCCTTCTCTCAGGAAAGTATACCTGCTGCTAGCTGTTATCTCATTTCATGAACATCAGGGTGATAGACCAGTACCATCCAAAGAGAACTTCTTTGGCATTTTATATATTTTACAATGCGAAAAAATATGGAAACTGGAGAGCCATTCTGGATCTCAAAACTCTTGAATAAACATCTAAATTGTAAGTGGAAACTTTTGAGATCTGTAACACACACACTAAAAGCAAACAACTTTCTGGTCTCCACAAAGGCCAACTCCACATGCCTGTTCTCCCATGTTCCTATGGCTTCAAAACACATTTTTGAAACAAAGCTGTGCTTCAGCCTTGCCTCCACCCAGAGACTGTTCACCAAGATCATGGTGTCAGTTGCAGCAAACCTCTGACTCCACCACCTGGAAGATACTATCAGATCTTAAGAATGTGGGGACTGTGGGACAAGTGTGCAGTGTCTCCAAAGCCATGGTTTCCTTATAAAGAAGAAAAAAAATTGCTTCCTACAGTGAAGTGCTTGTCATACCTGAGAAGTCATCTTCAGCACTATTCAGTATAAATTGTTCCTGTTTGGTAGAAAAGGAGGGAGACACGACTCTGATCCATGAGACTAGGTTATCTCCTGTCCTAGTGTTTTGTCATTATTTTTTATAAAAAGATTTTCCAGCAAGTTTTTAATTTCCCTACTTGGGGTTTTTGTTTCCTTTAGGCTTGTGTCTATGCTGTTTGTTAGTCATAATGTTTTACTGTGCATTTGAAAGAACAGTTCTGGTTTACTTCAATCGGTGCCAATATGCTAAATGTTTTTATACCTTTAGCTGCTTTGGGAATCTCCAATTGGGGAGGAAAAGCAGGTTACAAATATGAATAAAATATCAGCCTAAGAATTGTACTCTTGCTACCAGGAGTTGCTAGAACACTCATGTCAACCAATTAGGTGCACCAGGAAGAAACACTACTAATGCAAGTAGTCCACTGTCTTTCTCTATGGGAGGTGGAGCACATCGGGGAATATATTTAAATGCAGGGAAACCTGCCCCCTCCAATCCACCTTATCACAGACTTCTTTTGAAACTCCCTCTGTTTCAGTGCCCAGGGCTGCTATATGAGGAAACCAGTCAAACCAATTCCTGCAGAATTAGTAACAGTTCTTTGGAGACACAGCAGAAATTAAATGGCAGGATTCTGCAACAACATTGAAAGTAACACTATAGGCAACAAAAAGTTATGACTCGTCATACCAAATCACAAACCTGGAAAAAAGAAGTTGTGAATGCTAGGATGCTGAGCTGGAGAGATTGTGGCCCAGGTCTCAACTCAATGAAAGGTATGGCTGTGTCCACAGCCTGGTGGGGGGGGGGGGAATAATGTAGCTGCAGCAGATGCCTGTGAGCCTTTTTGTCTGAAGACTGCACTCTACATGAGCGGAACACAGGGTTCTGTGGCTCTTGTAGGGTTAATGAGGATGTATGTGAAACTCCTCAACCTGTTCAAAGAACAAAAACAACTGACAAGAAATTGTTATTGCTAAACTCAGTGGTACCTTTCAGTAAACATGCCTGGGATAAGGCAACTAATTAGCCAGCTCTTAATTAACAAAATGTGTATATATACCACTTGATTGTAAGAAAATCTCAATGCAGTTTACAAAAATATAAAACATTAACATGATCAATTTAAAAAGTTAAAAAATTACTGTATATAAAAACGTTCCAAGGTATTATTAAAGCCAACAGTAGCTAAAAAGAAATAAAACACACGGGTGGCACTTTGTGTTAAACCACAGAGCCTAGGACTTGCCGATCAGAAGGTCGGCGGTTTGAATCCCCGCGATGGGGCGAGCTCCCATTGCTCGGTCCCTGCTCCTGCCAACCTAGCAGTTCAAAAGCACCTCAAAGTGCAAGTAGATAAATAGGTACCGCTCCGGTGGGAAGGTAAACGGCGTTTCCGTGCGCTGCTCTGGTTTGCCAGAAGTGGCTTAGTCATGCTGGCCACATGACCCAGAAGCTGTACACCGGCTCCCTCGGGCAATAAAGCGAGATGAGCACCGCAATCCCAGAGTCGGTCACGACTGGACCTAACGGTAAGGGGTCCCTTTACCCTTTGTTTTAAGTGATCATATGAATGTATCCAAAGAAGAGAAAAGTTTGGAAGCCTGCAAAGTTTCTTTGAGCACTCAAGATTTTCTTTCTTGGGAGAAAATTTCTTTTGAAAATCTGTGAAGATTACACGTTCTAAAACTATAGCCAGCTTCATGTTTGCTTTGGTGGCACATATACTAGTGATGCCTTTTCAAAAAAAAAAACCACAACTGTTTCGGTCTATTGTATGTATTGCACTTTAACTGACATATTTCTCTTTAAATATGTAGTGTTGTTCATCGGGGGGGGTGATCATTGGGCCAACCTTTCCCCTGGAAAAATACATATATAACTATACAATATCATACCATACTATATGCAGGAGGCAGGCTTCAGCTATTCCTTGTACTGAAAGTACTCTGAAAAAAATCTGGTCTATACTGCAATCAGATGAGGTCTTTTTTATTTATTTATTTATTTATTTAGTATTAGGTTGTGACAATATGTAGGGGAAAAACATTATACGTCAAACATTCTCATCCCCCCCCAAAAGTGAAAAGGGTAGAATAAAAACAAGGAAAGGACATATGAAGAGGGGAGAGACACAACATAATGAAGAAACTTTATACCACCATGAATTATTTAAAAGGAAAAATGTTCATCATTTACTTTGTTGTTCCAAAAATGTAGAAACAAGGGCGCACCTCTTAATAAATCTGGTTTTCTTGATCATTAACTCTTGCATTTTTCTCGCATGCAAGTTTAACCATTAAGTTACAGGTAGTTTGTGAAGCTTTCCTTAAGCAATCAGTTATGGTGAGGGGAATATTTATTTTTCTTAGTGGCCATGCAGTTGTTTTTGCTGCCATTAGCAGCGTAGTCATCAGCTGTAAATCATCATTAATGATTTCAGAATGAGTTGTTTCAGAGTTTCTTGAGAGATCAGTAATTCCAGACCATAAACCCAAACCCAGCTTCAGGGCCTATCCATGCATTACCAGGGCTGCCAGGAGACATTCATTATTATTATTATTATTATTATTCATTTCTATACTGCTTTATTTTTTAAAAAAAAGACCTCAAAAGAGATTTACAACCTACATTAAAACATCACATAAAGCAATCTAGAATGAAAGACAAACAAAATTTACCATTCAAAGCAACAAAGTAGGAAACTAAAATATGATATTATTTTTAAATTACTGTACAAAGGACACCCACAGAATGCACATTCAACGCAGCTAAGCTAACCAAAAAATGATTCAAAAAGAAACACCACTAAAGGAGGTCAAATACAAAATGTGCATTTAAAACAGTATCATTAACAAGAGAATATTACCACACGCCCAAGACTTCTCTCTAACATTATTTCCGGGGAGCGTCTCAAAAGGGGCGTCCGAAGGCACAAGGAAGTCCCGCCTCCAGTCACTCAACCGGCTGCTCCGCTTCTTCCGGCCTCCATGGCGGTTGCTAAGGAGCGGGCGGGGAGAGAGGCGAGAACGTCGCTCTCTGTGACGCAAGGTCTTCGCGACGCGCGAGGCTGGATGACGCGCTTTCTGGCGCGCCCGCTTCCTCGGCGGCAGCTATGGCGGCTTCGGGTCCGGCGGCCGGGAGGCCTCGGGGGCGGCCGGGGGCGGCGGCGGCCTCGGTGGGGCAGGAGGAGCTGCGGCGGCTGATGCGGGCGAAGCAGCGCGAGGCGGCGGCCGGGAAGAAGAAGAGGGTCGACTCGCCCTTCGCCAGATATCCTTCCTGCGCCGGCGGGGGGGGCTCGAGGCCGCGGCTCCGAGGAGGGGGGGGGTCTCCTTCTCGGCTCCCATAGCAGCGCTGTGGTGGAGACGGGGGACGAGGGGAGACGGGGGAGGAAGGGGTTAGGAAAGAGCTCTGCAGCCGCCACCCGCTGGTGTTGTGTTTGCTCCCCTCCCCGTTCCCAGAGTGGGACCCAACACGGCTTGCAAATAAAACTAAGAATAGCTAGAAACACGGGAGGGAGACAACAATAATTAAAAAACAGTTAAACATTGAGAGAATTAAGCTAAGTATGAATACAAAATACCTACTGAAACCATGCAGATAATCACAGCAAGAAGCAGCATGGACCAACCCTTCCCTTAGCAGCAGTCAGTTCCCAAGAAGACCCCCCCCCATAAAATCTCAGAACCAGGAGAGGTTCATTGTGAAGTCTTTCAGAGAGCTTCAGCCTAAGACATATTTGTTGTTCCATCAGTGATTATGATGCTACCCAGGTTGCCATAACCATTTCTGTGTCTCCTTCCCTCTCCCAAACTCGTGGAAAGAAGCAGGGCTCAAGACCTGCAGCTGTAATAGATTGACTGGGGGGAGGAGGTATGGGTTTGGTCCTGTCCCTTGTGAGGGGGCATTGCCAGCTTCTTACCCTCTGCTTTCTCCATCCTCACTGCAGCTCCCAATCTTGTCTGAAAGACTGGCTGCATAGTAGTTTATTTATTTCATTTCTGTCTCACCTTTTTGTCATGGAGTTACATGATTCCCCCCCCCCAATTTAATCCCCACAACAACCCTGTGAGGTAGTCTAGGCTGAGAGCAAGTGACAGCCCAAGGTCACCCAGTGACCTTCACTGCCAAATACAGATTCAAACCTTGGTCTCCCAGTTCCTAGTCTGACACTCTAACCACTACACCTCATTGGATTTCGTTTTTGGTATAAATGACCAAAATAAATTCATATTTCTTTAATGTGCCACCGAAACTCTTGTTCTTTACGGAAGCAGACTAGCACAGCTACCCCTTTGGAAAATAAGCTCTTGCTGTATCTCAGTGTAACTTATATCTCAGTGTAACTCAACCTACAACTTTGTGGTGTGTGGGAATGCAGAGTGGTAGCAAAGCAAAAAGTGGCTTTAAAAAAACTAAGTGTACAGGAATCATTGTTATGAAGCCAAGTCTCTTTAATAGCTCCACACATACACATTTACATTTTACTTCTCACTTTTAAAAGCTATAATGTGGTTTAATAATACATATTTTAGCCAAGTTTGTGTTGCATATTTTTATATTCATTTCCTTGATTCCAAATTCTACATATAACAGTTTGGGAAACTTAAGCTGCTCTCTCTGCAACATGCCTGTGAAGAGTGAACTGTTGTGGCAAACACATGTGCTTGGGAAGCAACACAAAGAGGTAAGAGACAGTTCTTTTTTTAAAAAAAGTAATGTGCTTACAACAATTGTTTTATGTGTTATGTTGCAAAGCTAAGACTAATAGTTCTTTTCTTAATTACCAATCTAGAAAGTGAAATGCACTGACAATGTTAATGTGATTCTGCAGTACAATAATACATGAGATCTGATTATCTTACAAACTAGACATAATAGTGCCCCCCCATTTTTCCCCATTTAAAACATTGACTTTTAAAAGGATGATTATAACAAAAATGCAAAATTGCTTCATATGCTAAATAGTCTAATTACATAAAAGTAACAATGTCTCTTGCCCCTTGTTGCAGGCTTTCTTGAATCTTGCTTGCTAATATTGCTAGTGTTGTTTATTTTGTGGAAAATGTGCTACTTTGTGAAAAGAACTTAAATTCTTCTTTGTTGTAATAATTTATTCCTTGGGAATAAAGTACAGGAGCTCATTTTAATCCCCACCCCTGCAGAAAGTTGAGCAGTTGAGAAATCTTAAACAATCAGTACCAGGTCCTATTCCTGACACCTCATCTTCTCTAAAGAGGAAAACAACCAACACAGAATCTCCAGAACTGAAGAAAGCCAAAGGTATGGAAATGTTAGGCTGTGCTTACTGACCTGGTCATTTTTCTACAGTTCTTCCCTGTTCCCCAGCTGTCTTGAAATCATTTGTGTATTAAATATTTTCCTTGGATGGTGTGTTTTATATAAAATTATATGAAGCTGTTAGGAGCAGTCTGTTGGAGATTTGGGGCACAGTCAGGAGATCTGTGCACAAGCTGAACCAGGACCTGGACACACTGGTGGTCTGCATGAGGACTAATAAACTGAGGCTGACAAGGCAGACAAGTGGTTCCTGCAGCTGAAAATTGGTGATTTTGCCTCTTCTAGATGCACTCTCTTTGAAGGGACAGGTACACAGTTAATAGGTGGTGTTGGAACCACATTTGACCATGGATGCACATGTGGTCTCTATGGAGAAGAGTGCTAGTACAATTTGGCCACTGTGACACATGCCTTAGTAACCTCACGTTCTAGAATGTGGTAACCTCACATTCTAGCAGTCTTTGTGGTTCTTCTTCCCTTCCAGCTGGTTCATAGGCTGCTGCTAGTGCAGAATGTCACAGACCAGGTGGTGAGTGGTGCTCTTTACTGAGCACATACCATGCCCATACTAATGAGTCTACACTAACTACCTGTCACCAAACCAATTTTAAGGAGTTGCTATTTACATATAAAGTCTGAAACAATTCCACACTAGCTTATCTGAAAGCCTGGTTAAGGACATTAAATAAAAGAACCCCAGTTAGTCTTGCCATGACTTTATGATTATCACTTTGATGATACAAAAGTGTTCTTTTTCACTGGGAGCATTAGTGTTACGGAATGCACTCCCTGCTGAAATGCTATTTTGCTGGCTTTTGAAAATGATTCTATTACACCGGCATTTTCCCAACCCAAGTCTCCTGTTTTAAGAGACGTAATAGGATTGTTTTATTGAAAATTTTAATTATGGATATTTATATATTAATGTTTCTCTACTTTTTTCTAATTGCCTAGAAGCCTACTTTGCCTATACATTAAATATAAATGAATTAATAATCAATACAAGTAGTATTTGAGTACCCATAACATGAATGCCAGGCAGATTTGCTAATAATTATAAATTAGTTTTTGATGGGTACTTGCTAGGACAGAGAACAAATTGTGGTAAAATGCTGGAGGTAACCATTCATGGTTTCTAGTCAACTAGGTGTGCCCTTGTATATTACACACTGTAGCTGCTGCTATGGTGCAGTGTTTAAAATGCTGGGGGGGGGGTGTTTTGAATAAATGCACCCAAAGGGGGTGAATTTAATCTTGGTTAAAGGTCCTAGCCTTAGAGTGGAAGATTAAAGCTATGTTTAGGTAAACTACAGTTTTATGTGATTGGGAAGGCTACACAAAATTTCTTTTAACTGATTTTATATCTACTGTTTTTTGTATTTTTCTTGTTGCCACATTAATTGCTTTTGTTTCTGATGTTTTTGATCGGTTTTATATTTGTTTTATGGTTCTCTTTTGTAGGCTATCTTGAAAACCTAGATTAATAAAATTATGTTTAATTTAAAAAACACACCTTTACATAAGGAAATTTCAGCTGCTTGCAGTGCCTGTGTTTCTTGGAGTAACTGTCCTATGAATTGTTCTTTTAACACACCGTCACCTGACTGTAACCACTTTAACACTGGTCAAACCTCAGCTCAATTACCTGAAAAAAACCTGTTATACTGATCTATTATTATTTATTAAATTTGTATACCACCATTCATCCACAGATCTAAAAGAGACGACAGTGCAATGTGGATGGAAGAAGGTGCTATTTTTCAATAGTTTTAAAGTCCTGACTTGGAGGTGTCACTCTATCCATTTAAGACATATTTTAAGGCTGGATAATGTGGGTTGCTATGTCAGCAAAAAAGTAGCCTCAGAGGGATTCAGTGACATCACAGTCATTGCGTCACAATCATTGGCGTCATAAGTTTTTATCGGCTCCTCCACTCAGAGGTAGAGAGTGTGCTGAGAGAGACTTGCCCAGGTTGTCCCCACTGAGTGGGGATTTGAACTTGGCTTACCTTAGTCACACGACTGATCCAGAGTTCTTCCTGGGTCACTGCAGCTTGGGTGTGGAGTTCATCTTTGTGTTCTTTTTCTGTTTTAAATGTGACAGAACTCTGATAAAATGTTTTGCAGATTCAAGTGACCATCCGCAAACACTCTCTTCTGGGTAAGTTGAGATGGTTATTATTAGCTCTGTTTTTACATTTTCTTTTTTCATAGTTATGGATATGAACAGGATGTTATATTTGTTATTCATTACCTGAAGTCCTAACTGGTGCTGAGAAATTTGCTTTCAAACAGGGTGGTTAGAATGTTCCCATATGACAATTGTTCAAATGCAGTGGCTGACAACATTATTTCCATTATACTACAGTTACTTCAGAGAAAATTATCTTATTTCATGGGGAGTCCCAGATGGGGACACCAGATGGAGGTGACCACCATGTGGAAAGCTGTTTGGGAAACACAGAGTTAGCATGGGGAATGTCTATTTAAGGGAGAAAAGTTTTGTTTTTGTTTTTTAAATCACCTTAGGTGTACTTGAAATAATTGTCTTGATTCTGGCTTGTATTATGATGGAATGTTTTTAAGTGTTGTGGAAAGCCAGCCAGATGGGCGGGGCATAAATAATAAAATTATTGTTATTGTTATTATTTCATTTTTTAAGGCTGCCAGCAGATTTTTTTGGGAAAAATGAACAAGCGGAAGCAGAAAAGGCCTCTTGCAAAGCTTCAAGTGGTGGCTTATTACTTGGAGACTCTGAAGAGGAGGAGGAGGAAGAGGCAGAAGAGATGGCCAAAGAAATCCAGGACAACAGCAGCAAACCTCCTTTGTTGTCCACTGGGCAGCATACAGCAACACCAGCCCACCCTCAGAAAGTAGACCCCACTGCTTTACCATCAGGTAACTCTGGGACTTTCTCTGCTGACTTTACAGTGAAAAAATATGGAGAGTTCCAAGGCCACTCTAGCTGACATGGCACAAATCAGAAGTTTTGCTTAACTTTACCTCTGAAGTTGTGTCATGTCCTCTTTTTTATGGCTTCTGAAGTATTGTTGTGCCATATTAGGTAGGCTTATCCGTATATACTGCAGTGCGCTCCACTTGTGTCATACATGCATATTAGATGGCTTCTCATGCCAAACGAAAACCAGCAATCATCTGCTATTGATGGTTGTAGATGTCCAGAATTTTGCTTCCAAGTGTGGCCAGCCAGATGCTTCTGAGGAACTCCAAAATGGCATGGAGGTATTTTCCTCTGCTGTTCATTATTAGCATCTAGTACGCAGAGCCTCTGAGGTTCTCTTATCGTACAACGGCATAGCTGACCAATTCTCATCTTTTTCAGTAAAGCACCAAATATATATAATTCAAGGACTAGTACGGGGGTAGGCAACCTAAGACCCGGGGGCGGATGCGGCCCAATCGCCTCCTCAATCCGGCCGGCGGACGGGCCAAGAATCAGCATGTTTTTACATGAGTAGAATATGTGCTTTTATTTAAAATGCATCTCTGGGTTATTTGTGGGGCATAGGAACAGTGGACCCGGCCCACAGTTGAAAAAGGTTGATGATCCCTGTACTAATATCTGGTGATTTTTAAATACATGAGTCCCCAAATGGTATTATGAACAAGCAAACAGTTTATTTTATAACTTAGTGTATGTTATAGCTTTTGTCTACAAGAGGTGTAAATTTTGTGCTTTTCTAAAAAAAGTGCACAGTTGCGACAAATTGAGCTTCAGTGCTACACTATTCAGGATTCAGGATTAGGATAGAGCTATCCTAATAAATTTTGTCTAGTCATTTTAAAGTAGTGGTCATCACCAACATGCAGCCCAGTCCTATGCTTGTGTGCTCTGATATGTTTACTGAGTCCAGTGGAACTACTGCTAAGTTAAGTGTGCACAGTATTTCAATCTAAGCAGTGGTGAATCTTGTAAGTTAATCATTCTGTGAAGTACTTCCTTTTGTTGAAACTTATATCAACTTTATTGGTTCATCTCAAGGTTTGAGTGATCTCAGTTTTTCCGTCTCTGCTCATCGTTTGTGCAATTAATACACCCATTTTTAGTGACTTTGGCTTTCAAATTGTGCATATTACACAGACAGTGATTCTTTTCTCTATTGCAGACTATTCAGACAATAAAACTTTAGCTGCACCTTTAGTTTCCCATTCTGGCTCTATTCAGAAAGCAGAAATACAAGAAAAAGTTGTGGAAAGGTAAGCTAGCCAGGGTAAAGGTTTTCCTTCCTATTTTAATTTGTAATTAAATGTGTTTGGGTTCTCATAATTAATAATCCTCAGTATGCCGAGTATATTGGTACTTTTTTAAAAAGAAGTCACAGTCTGATGAGATGAACCAGTATTTTAACAGTGTTCGTAACTTAAACAATTAGGACACCATACATAATGGAGCTTTGAGAAAGCAGTGTATTAGGAGAATGGCTTCTTGTATTTGTTTCCTTTATCTTTATTGGATCTTGGAGGTTTGGAAAAATTAAACTTACAGTGCCAGTTGATATGGTTAGCTCAAAAGGGGTTCCTTCATTTCTCCTCAGCCTCAGGCCAGGGGGTGGGAGCGCTAGTTGGCATTGTGTTGGTCGCTCTGTTCTCGGTGCAGATATCTGATCTGCTGTTTTGAAGGAGTTAAAACTAGTGCAGAATTGGCTCAAGACAAGCCATCACCTTAACATTTCAGGAAAGAAAACACTGCGGAGGCCTTGCCAGAGGGATTTTTTGATGATCCTGAAGTGGATGCAAAGGCAAGTGTGATTTGTTCCGATTTCAGCACATGTCAATTCTTTGAGGAATTAATTCAGCTAGTCAGCTAGCAATTACAGAAGCTGAATAAAAGATTTACATAATGATTGAAATGCTTTGTGGTATCCTTCTGTAAACGATTTGATTAACTTGCAGCAGTTTTGGTGTTGCAATTAGCATTGGCTTTCTCTAAGTTTGTGTTGAATATTGTCTGACATGAATCAAAAGTAGAGATGGGAAGGGCTGAGGAAAAACCAGGAAAATTGGGGGGGGGACCCTGGTTTTATTTCCAATTTTTCTGGGTTTTTCCCCAGGCCTTCCCATCTCTAATCAAGAGTAATTGATCCTACTAGCCAGGATGCTGTATTCCTCATATGCCATCAGATTTTCCTCTTCTGTTCTTGTAGGTGGTTGACAAATAAAGAGTGCAGTGAGACTGTTAATCAGCACACCTGTACACAGCTAGTTGAAATGTGATGTTTATTCTGTGATGCCCTAGATTTTGCAGAATTAATGGATGTGGGGCTGACAAAAGATATAGCAAAGTTGGGAATAAATGTCCATGTAAAATGAAGGTAGGCAGTGTATTGGGGCAATGTACAGATCAGCCTTTGCTTCTAAACTCTTAGAATAAATGCATAAAAAAATTCAAAATGCACATCTATAATCCTGCCTTTCTTCCTTTAATTACCATCTTGCCTCCTCCTGCCCCCCTCTCTTTCCAGTAGCCCACACAGATGTGCAGATACAGCTGGGGAGCTTTCTAAGCACTCACTTTGCTTAGTTGCTAAGAGTCCTAGCCACACTTCCTCATCTTCAACAGAAACAGCTAGAATTTTTTTGGTTTGGGAGTAGCCAAAGCAGTATCTCCCTTGAGATCATTTCTCTCCAGAAACTTTTCCTTGGGAGACGTTCCTTTAGTATAGCTGAAGGAGTGCCTCCACCACCTTCATTCAGCCTGGACACTGTGAAGTCCTCCAAGGATCTTCTGGTGGTTCCCTCACTGCGAGAAGTTACAGGGGGCCAGCAGAGGGCCTTCTCGGTAGTGGCACCCTCCCTCTGGGACGCCCTCCCGTCAGATGTCAAGGAGGTAAACAACTACACAACTTTTAGAGGACATCTGAAGGCAGCCCTGTTTAGGGAAGATTTTAATGTTTGACGTTTTATTATGTTTTTATATTTTGCTGGAAGCCGCCTAGAGTGGCTGGAGAAACCCAGCCAGATGTATAAGTAATAAAATTATTATCATTATTAAGTTTGGTGAGTGTTGGTGGCCTTTTCTCCAGGAACCTTCCTTATCTTTACAGGTTAGGAGATGGGGAAGAGTGTTCTTGAGTAATACTTTATGTTCCTTAGTAATCACATTCAGCCATAGTAGCTGCATTTCAGAAACCACCTCTAGATTGTACATTGAAGTGACCTTTTTAAAAATTATCTCCAGAGTCATAGGGACTGAAAACCAGGATACCTGTAGCAACAACAACTTAATATTTATACCCCACCCATCTGGCTGGGTTTCCCTAGCCACTCTGGACGGCTCCCAACAGAATTAAAAGCACAATAAACCATCAAACATTAAAAACTTCCCTAAACAGGGCTGCCTTCAGATGTCTTCTAAAAGTCAGATAGTTATTTATTTCCTTGACATGTGTAAATGCTCTGACTAACTACCTGTTCAAGCAGGTCCATGTGTGTTTAGTGTTTTTATATCCTGAAGACATCTTAAAACAAGAAAGGAAAAGCAAGTTTCTATCCCTTTCTCTGTCTTAATAATTTAAATTGGGGGGGGGGGGAATTCTGCTGATTCCCCGTTGGACTGAATGGAAGCTGCCCAAATCAGAGAAGGGGCTTCTGGTTCTTTTTTCCTTTTGTTTGTTTGTTTGTTTGTTTGTTTGCTGTGCCTGTCTGAATGTTCCTGATATTTAACCTCTGGAAGACGTTAGAAGTTTAGCTTAGAAAGAGTTCTGATACCTGGTTACCAATATTGTAGTGGTTTGCATATGCTAATTGTTGCTGCCTGACTTTGAATTTGCCTCGGGGGGTTGAAGAAGCAAATGCTTTTGAAATAGACCTTGATATAATTTCTTACTGATCAAGCATTAACTGAATTCTTTTAAACTTTTATTGTCCAATATGTAACAAATTAAAAAAGGCAGACTATAGGACTACATCTAAAACATTCACAAAGAGCAAAAGCAATGTATGGTTAATGAAGTGTATATTCTTATGGTAAGTTACTTTGAAATGATTTATGTATTGTTATATTGTAGCATAATTAATCATTCAGAATCAAAGCACACGACTTGCTTTTACGTGGATGAAATGTGTCTCACTTCCGGAGGGGGGAACAAATGCACAAAACAGAGCTATAAGCATAATTCCAATGAAAATTGATTTCCCCCAATTACTTTATTTAGCCTGAAGTATATTTAGCTGACATTGGTATGGCAAGCTATCTGGCTTTTTGCAGCTTTCAGAAGGATGAGTCTTGCTATAAGATGTCAACCCAGAGATCCACTCTTTACCTGTTAAACCAATAGGAAACAGGAGGCAAGGCAGCTATAGCTTCTCACACTCCCCCCCCCCCGCCCATATTTCTGTCTGCCCCTTTGCCTTCCTCCTCATACTGTGCAGCAGCTCTCTATTAACCACCCTTGTGTTAAAGGAGGGGGCAGATATAAGGAATGAGGGGGAAATGAACAGAAGAAGCTGGGGCTGAGATTTGGGTCTGTTGCATGCCCAATGAGGGTAAAGAGACTGTCAGGCCAGCTGCTGTGTCCTTGCTCCTGAGTTATGCATGTGATCATGTATAGATCAACACCTGTTAGTTGTAGTAGTGGCTAAATGTGAATCAAGAAGCCTATGGCCATGACCTTGGTGGGTGGTCTTAGATGGGGCTGGACGATACCTGGTTTTCAACTTCATGATATATCATCAGCTAAACATCACAATATACTGATATATCACAATGTCTGAAATAAGGATGGAGCTATGTGGAGGCATAGGGACACGGGTGGCGCTGTGGGTTAAACCACAGAGCCTAGGACTTGCCAATCAGAAGGTCGGTGGTTCGAATCCCTGTGACGGGGTGAGCTCCCGTTGCTCAGTCCCAGCTCCTGCCAACCTAGCAGTTCGAAAGCACATCAAAGTGCAAGTAGATAAATAGGTACCGCTCCGGCGGGAAGGTAAACGGCGTTTCCGTGCGCTGCTCTGGTTCGCCAGAAGCGGCTTAGTCCTGCTGGCCACATGACCCGGAAGCTGTACGCCGGCTCCCTCGGCCAATAAAGCGAGATGAGCGCCGCAACCCCAGAGTCCCGTCACGACTGGACCTAATGGTCAGGGGTCCCTTTACCTTTACCGATGTGGAGGCATTGGCTGGCTGCATGGTTTCCCCCCACATTGTGATTTTTGCATAGCGCGCACACATCATGATTTGCAATATATTGCCAGGTCAGAAATTATGAAACCAGTATCATGGTATGGACTTCAAACCAGTTTTGGACAATATATCAATATATTTCCTAGTCCTAGTCTTAGATAAGCTGCCCCCTCTCTTCCTCTCCCTCCCTCAGCCCCCTAATATTACCTGGGTAATATTAACCTTGCTTTCAGGGGGCTGTGCAGGAGTTGCTCTGGGACACAACATAGTGTAGTAGTGATATGATAATATACTGCGGCTGAATTTTGAAGGAGCAGTGTCATTTTTTTGTCTTTTGTTAATTTTTTTTTTGTAAGATCCAAAAGCATTTTTCTCTTCTTCCCAGCTCATAGTAAAACATACTCTGTCCATCTCCTCCCTCTCTTTCTGTATCATTCTTCATGTGCCCTCTGTTTGTATGCCTTCAGTTACACCGGTTCTCCCTAATGCTAATGACTCTTATTCTAAATATCAAGGAGTTAAGGGGCTAAGTAGATAGCATATAGTAGATAACAAATGTGTGTTCATTCGTAGTAGCTCACACATTGCTTTCATCTGCTCCCTTTGATGTCCCTTAATGTGTTTAAGTTGACAATGCATTGCAGTGCAAACTGGTAGCACATAATCTGAAATGAGGAATCTCTATGTCTCTCTCTCTCTCTCTCTCTGAATATAGCTTCAAGTTGTCTGGATAAATTGTTTGCTTTGGAAAAAACAGCAACTTAGCAACCAAGTTCTCCTTGCTTGCAGCATGAAGTAGAAGTAAAACCAATAATGAGAAATAGGAATACAGCCTTCCACAAATTGCTCATCTTTCTCATTTCATAGGTGAGGAAGGTTGATGCTCCAAAGGATCAGATGGACAAAGAATGGGATGAATTCCAGAAGGCTATGCGACAAGTCAACACTGTAAGTTGATGGCTCCTGTTTTGAATTGCTTGCAGATGCAGAACTAGAACTTGGCAGAGTGACATTCCACTGCATTTGCTGACTGTTTTAATATCGGTTAAAATCATTTTATAAGCTAGCTGTGGTCTGAGTATCCCCCCTTCAAACAGTGAAGTGAAGAAACTTTAGTAACAGATGACACTACACCAAAAATTGTGATGAAGTTTGCTTTTTAAAAATTTGATCAGCATATCCTATCTAGCAGGAATGCAGGATGTATATTCTGTCAGGCCAGATGGCCTGTTACTGTCACCATTCACTTTCATTTTTTTCAGGTCTGGTGCACTTGATATTTTAAGTCTGTATACTTTATACATATACTCTCTATATGCAATAATTATCTGGCTCTGGATTGGATTGAACATTCCTCCCACGTGGCTTCATTTTTATTGCAAGATTTGCCTCCCCACATCCGCTGTTGACTAGATCTGTGGTTCTCACATACTGCTTTAAAAAACCAATCCCTTTGAAGGTGATCACTCAGCAACTTCACTTGCGCCTGTGAACTTTGCTTTCAAACTCTGACGTTGCAGAAAGTTTTCCATGAATGAATTGTTGGGAGAAGACTGTTGTAGTGCAGTCATCCTATTCTGAAATGCACTCGGTGCTATAAACACAGTAGATGTTCATACAAGATCAGCAGTGGACACATTTTGTGAACATTAGTGGTGCACAAGGGCTCTTCTTGGTTACATGTTGGCCACTGGCTGCACAGCATCTCCAAGACACTCAACTTTGAGAAAGTATATGCTGAAAGAAATAACAGGTTAAAATATATTTTGGAAATCGGAGATTAATTGTTAACAGAATTCTTAAACGCGAGTTTCATCATCAGTGCTCATATTACTAAAGCACCAAGATCTTCTTTGCTTGGGTTTGTCACTTTCAAAACGTATTGTGATGGATCAGAGCAAGCTGGCTTTCTCTTAACTTGTAGTTACGATAATAGGAGCAAGCTGTATTCTCCCTTTTACCTGCTGCCATAAGCAGGTTAAGACCACATTCCTTCTTAATTCAGGGTTTTAATTTACTTAAATTCAGGTTAAGTGGAGAGCCTAGCCAGTTTTGGAGAATCTGTTGCCAGGAGGAAGCATAATCCTATAGTTTGCTCCTAGTTTTCTCACTGCAGTAAAGAGAAGGCAAAGCTTACTTTTACATCAATCCAGTTTTGTTACGGAAAATAATACCCACCTTTTCTGAGTTAGATTTCAGAAGCTATAGTAGCTGAAGAAGATGAGGAAGGGCGACTCGACCGTCAAATTGGAGAAATAGATGAGCAGATGTAAGTAAATTAAAACCTGATTTCAAAAAGCTTAATGTAAACGCACTGCTTGAAATTAAATACAACAAAATTCTGCAACTTTTATATAACACACACAACTCTGTGCTTACTGTTGCATTTTTGCTAGTCAGGGGTAAGGAGAAGAGATTATTTGGGAACTGAATTCTGCAGCTACTATCACATTCCACAGCTGTGGGCTTCCTTGTACCTGCTACATCTCCCCATCCTCTCACACACACGGCTAGATAGAATCAAGTGATGACATTTGGAGGAAGGCCCTAAAGTTCATAGACATGCAAAGTGTCAAAAGTTCTCCTAGACTTTTTAAACTGTTCCATTTCTGTACAAGAGCACTTTAGGCTTAGGACATTTGCCAGTTCCACAGCTTTGGAATGGTTGGCCCCATGCATGAGATTACAACAGGATTCTTAAAGCCAACTTCCATACTTACTTTTGGGTCCAGCTCTTCTCATATCTGACTCTAACCGAAAGTAGATGAGGTTCTAGAGCAAGAGTGGCTAACCTGTGGCACTCTACATTTTATTCGTCCCTAACTCCCAGCAGCCCCAGCCACCATGGTCAATGTTCAGAGAAGATAGGAGTTCTGCAACAGCTCAAGGATCACAGGTTGACCACCACCCAGACTCCTGTTATCTCCTTGCCTTGCCCCTTGTATCCTGTTGTCCACAGCTAAAACGCGTCCTTAAGCACAATGATACAGTAAGCTCACCCTAATATTATAAAATATCTGGAGGGACCAAGGAACTTTTTTGTATTGGTGTGGCCTCTTTTTGGGTGTATGCTTTGCTGCACAATGTAAGACCACCCCTCCCCGCTCCTTCCTTAGCTGGTGACTCCCAAGTAGAAGCAGGAACATGGAAACTGGTGGAGGGGACTGTTTGAGGTCTCTGGAGACTTGTTGATTAATGAATCACTTCCTTTTTTCTTTTGTAGCCAAATAACTTTACATGAGTGTCTTAAGTTTGGAGTATCCTTAACTTTTTTATTGTCAGCTCTGGAAATGTAACTGGCTTTGGCTGTCAAGCTGACACTTTTGTACCATAAAAGTTTTCAAAATAAATTTAGTGAAAGTTGCTGGTTCCTTTTCCTTCAGTGCTTCATTAATCTGTGTCTAGCCTTTTGTTAATGCCGAAAATGTATTAAATTGCTTTCTGTTCTTGACTCAGAAGAGCAGAACTATTGTTCATTTGTAGGTTTAAAAAAATAAAAGATTAAAAACAGAGATGCAAAATATAGTGGAATAAAATTAATTTCCCAAAATCAGTATTTTTCAAATTGTTCCAGAAAACACTAAAATTATTTAGTGAACGACTCAATCAGGCGCTTTTCCTTCCATGTGCCGTCCAAGAAAGGAAGATTGTCTGGTTGCGTTCTAAGCATTTATGCAGTCTGCTCAGTGACAGAGGTGTTCAACTGGCCAGCCCAGTATTCTGCATGACAGTGCTCAGGGCTTTGGTGCAAAATACCCAGGAGTTCACTGGAAGAAAGGTCAATATGGCAAGTGTTCCCTGAAGGAAAGCCACCTGAAAACCACCTCCTAAATAGCAGACAGTGGCCCCAGTACAGCTTGCTAGGCTTACCCTTTGCACCCCAAAAGGACAAGTAAAAAGCAGCTGAAAAAGTCTGAACTCATTCAGTGATAGCAGCTCAGGTTCTTGGACAAAGTACCATAGGCTTGAATTGACTGAGTTCATGTTAATGTTGTGTCTGAGAAACTGCCATGTTCTTTCCAAAGATACGAAGACTGTGAACTTAAAAGGCACACCATTGCAGCTTTTCACTTAAGCAGCAGAAGAGGGCCAATTATTATTTTTAATTTTACCCTAGTGAATGTTTCCGGCGTGTTGAACAACTGCGTGACCGCCAGGAAGTACTGAAGGATAAACTGAAGGAAGCCATGAGACTAAGAGCTGCACAGGTTGAGGACGGCGACACTGGCAGTGATGACGAAGGAGAACTGCATGACCTCCTCTCTCAGGACTGGAGGGCAAAAGGAACATCGTTGTAGCTGCTAGGAGCCAGTCTCCTGATGGGTGGTATTTTGGTCTTCTAACACACTTAGGATAAAATATTTATTTAAAGAATCCTGCGGGTATTGAAATGTGTAAAAATATGTTTATAGGGTTAAGAATAGAAAAAGCCATTGTAAAGAGTTGTATATTGTAAAAACATTTTTTAAAAAATTGTAATTGTAGCTTTCCTATTAAAATCTACAGAAAATGTTTTATTTGCTCTATGAATCCATATGGTTTTCCATTTGGCAGGGGGCGGGGGCTCCTGTTTGAGAAAATAAGTCTGAAGCCTGTACACAGTACATCTTTTATTGTAAGATTCCTAACTATTTAGTTACTTGTAGATGCTAGTTAACCTGTATGATCCTAGAAAAACTTCCTTGCTGCCTTGGACTTAGTCTTTTTCTAGTATAGTTTAGAAAACACTTAAAGACAGCCCTGAATGATGGCTACTGGGTTAAACAGAACAAGAGAAATTTTGCCCTGTGTGCTTTGCACAATATGTGTTGGTTAATTTATAGAGCGAGTACGTACAACCATGAGTAAACATTTCCCTTTAATTATCCATTTCCCCCCAGTTCACACACCAGTAACTGGCATTTTTAGGCTATTTAGGCTCTATGCCACTGAAACCTTTTCTCAGGAGCAATGTAATGCAGTCCGATCTGAAATAGCAAAGACACGATGCTTTTTTCTAATCAATGATGCTGCCATAAATCAAGTAAAACGTTGTTTGGAATAGATATTCCAATAAAATACTTTCTCTGAAGGAGAAGTTGTTGTGTTTTTTTACTGTGGTATAAGCGCTGCTGTCAGTTTCAGCACTTGGCCCTAACCTATAAGAATTATGTTTGGATATTGCCTAGTAATATTTCCTGAAGTCAAACATTAGTACTATGGATGTCAACAGTAAGGAAAGGCCTATTAATCCATCAGTTATGTCCTGGATATCTGTATTTTTAAAGCGAATGTTCATCATTCAAAGAGCTACCTGGGTTTATCTAAGGGATTTGTTTCAGCCCCGTGGCATTCTTTGTGTCTTTTCTTTTAATAGCACTTCTGCTACCACTCTCATATTAAATTGTTTCTTGACACCCCTCAGCTCCACAAGTAGTTCTCATGTGGCACAGCAGCCTGATTTTTGTGAAATGTACCTGAAGCTCTCTTGTGCTCATGGACATGCCATGCTGGACATGGATTCTCTCCAGAACCTCCCACAGACCCAGCAAGCTTTTGCAAACAGAATAATATCCTATTCAAAATGCTATCGGTATGTAGAAAACCATTTCCACATGGATGATACCTCTGTGTTTTTTTTCCATTAAGCCACTCATTCAACATGTTGGCTGAAAGTTCCCATTAAGCAGATTATTGTGCAATACTCTTTTAAGATGCCATATTAGGTTGTAATGCTTTCCCCCAATAAGCACCAGGCCTAATTGCAATTATGTCAAACTTTTAATTGTTAATGCAAAACAAGCCATAGGTCTGAACTCATTGGTGACAAGTCACAAAAATAGTATTTGATCAACATCTTCGTTACAAAGTTAAAAATCACAACAGCTATTTGTATGCACAAAGCTAAGATGTGGTTTTTAAAGTCAGGAAAACCTTTATTTATAAAAAACAGCTTATTTAGTTTATCAAGTCTATACTTAATATATAGTGGTTTAAAACATCAACAGCCCATGCTTTGTACAGACTGG